GATGTATACAACCTTAGTATTACTGCTTGTCTTGATTACTTCTAGTCTTCTTAATGTGCTCATGGCCATTTCAGTGGGAATCTGAATAACTAGTCGTTAATGACTGCAGAACAACACAAGGAGTTCATCTCTCTTTGATTTCTTGACAGAAAACAACACGTGTGAGCTCTATAATTATGTTACATAACACTCACACAATAGACCTCTGTATTAAACCACAGAACCCTACTTGTGTATGTGCGTGTAGTGTGATCCCCTCTGCCAGATACACTCATGCATTCCATTGTTCTTGGGCTTCACATGGCTGACAATGGATCAATCTCCAGTGGAGTATCAGTTCACCTGTTGCACATGCGAAACTGACTAATAATATTTGCAGTATGTCCATCTCGAGGCTGACTGTACCAGAACTGCAGTCAGAGATGACCATCATCATTCATTGAATGACATCTTCTAGAATATCCAGAGATTTATTTTTCCAAGCATGTCTAGTCTATTTCCATTTGTCAAGATGGAGTTGGTGTAACTGAGTGGAGTGGTAGTTTTACTTGGGAAGTTTAATATACTGTGAGATCTGCCAGTGTTCCTCCCACTCCTATATCAAGTAGGAACTATATCTTTCATTCTTCTATCCTTACAGGTATGTACTAAGCTCCATCCAGTTCCAAGAGATCTCGGTTGACTACCAAACCATTTGATAAAAACTGTATGCCATACTTCTCTAAGCCATTGGCCAGGCAGGCTAACTTTGTGTTCCATAGCTCTAAAGGCAGCATATACCACTTGCTGTTGGTTTTCCTGAACCTGTTGAACCACTGGTCTAAACCAATAACCTTGGTTACCTTGTGCTGGTAACAAATTCATAACTTACTCAAATGTGACCCAACATTCCACATCCACATCCAAAGCTTCCCTCTTTTGAAGTACCAACTGGGTGGAGGCATGAAAATGACATACAAGCTGTTTGATTGCACCATAGCACTGGGGTGTGTGAATGGTTTGTTAGCCATTGGCATGGCTTCAACTCAATAAACCTGTGACCAAGTTTGAAGTGACCATTTTTACCTTATCTCTCTCTCACCCAGGTGATGACTCATCATCTTGCCTGGAAGTCCCTCGAGGAACTTATCAAGTGTATATATTTTATATTTGCAGAAACCATCACAGTGTATTTGTTACACTGGATTATCACCAATGTTTGTATTTGTTACCATACAAACATTGGTGATAATCCATGAAAGTGGCCAGACTCTCGTTGATGCTTATTTTCTGAGTCTTGAACTTGAACCTGCTGATGTTTCTGAGTCTGCAGCTGCAGAGAGATCAATGTCTCGGACCCTTTACAGCATCGGTAAAAGTGTGACTCCAGGAGAGGACTTCTCCTAGATTTGACAGCTCTCTTAGACAACCGTCCCTTTTCACAGACTAACTCTCCCTTTCAATCATGAGTACTTATACTCGCAATAAATGTTATTTCTTGAGCAATAAGTCTTTCTTTATATTGGATAACACAGTAATACAAATCAAGGGTAACACATACACCGGTATAAACACAGAAAAACTTCATAATAATATCCTGTAGTCATGGCACTGAAATTTTCCGCTTCCTACCTACACTATGATATTTTAAATTGAAACTGACTTCCTCAAACATGAATAACGTGGGTCCACTATATAATGGGAGGTTTGGTAAGATAATATTATAAAGTAATTCTATGGTTTGCCAAAACCAACTGAGTGTATGGTGAGAAAAAATACATTGGACACAAAGAAGTAGTCTTTATTAAAACACAAAACAACAGTGTGTGTTTTTAGTTTTGAATGGCAGACAGTCGCCTTTATGGGAGAAGTATATTGACAATACTGGCTTATTCCCTCAAGATTTATTCCATGCTGACCAATATTTCAAAATCTTTTTCCACACTGACTAAATTTTGTATTACATAGTTAAATTGGTAATGTCAGGCTTATTCAGAATGACTAATTTTACTCATATATCTGGTCATTCCCATTTGAAAATATGGGAGGTTGTAACCTTCAGATATCACCTGATATAGTACCATTGAAGAACACTACTGCATACTTCCATACACTAAGCACAGATTTGCACTATATTCCTCACGGGCAGGGTAGATGTTATCTCAAGGGAATGACAGAAATAAAAGAGAACTAGTTTTATGCTTGTTTGTTTTGTTGGATTTAATATAAAGTTTCTCAAGGGCTATCTGTACTAGTTGTACCTAATTGATATACTTAAAGAGAAGGTAGCTAGTCAACACCACTCATCACCGTCACTTTGGCTAATATTTTACCAATTAACCATTACATTATAACACTCCATGACTGAAAGGGCGAAAATACTCATTGACACGATTTGCTGCCATGGCCCAAAGGTTGACGAGTTATCTGGAAACTGAACATACATCTGAAAAATATCTACATTAAAATGAGAAGATAAAAATACACGGTATGCCTGCATGTCACAAAAATACCACACTGCAAGTTCCTTTTCTTGTATCTCCATTCCCCAACTCTAATAAGAAACTTGTTCCTCAGACTATGATACGTTTTTCTAGAAAGGCGACAAGGGTGCATTTGATTACTAATACACAGCTTCTTTGAGGTTTGGGATTGTTAAACAACAAAAATAAAAATTTCATATTCAATGAAAACATCCGATGATGCTCAGAAAATGTAAAATAAAGTGTAACAGCTTCGTATTTTGTGTGTGTGATATTTCCAGATTATCCTAACGAGTAAATTGGGTAAACATGCTGTATAATTAGAGGTCTATCAAGATAAATTGCAAAATAATATTGAAGTTTGCAATTGGCACTATCCACGTGGCTGGTTGTTCCCATTCAAAAATATCTGAATACAGCATGTTTGTCTATCTTTTTGTAATATTACAGCATTTATTCTGAACTTGTCATTTATTTAATATATGTGCAGATTTCACATAACACGTGGTCGAGATGATAAAACACGAGAAACATATTCACAAACACATTATGTATTGTCATAAGTTTGCCTCGAATTTCCTTGATTGGAAAATTAATTAATAGATTCTTAGTCCCTCCCTCACTGGGTCGGCATTGTTGCTTACCACCTAATGAAGAAAACTACAACTAACTCTAGAAAAGAACATTACAAAAAAATGTATGCCCAACATTGTTACAGCCATTAATCAATGTTTATTACTTACATTTTTGCACATTCTATGGCAGCTATTTACTGTTTTGAACGTAGACTGAGGTCGTTCATTTCAATTATTAATAAAGAAGAATCCAGAGTGGCACAGTGGTAAGTCAGAGGGCTTATAATGCTAAAAGTTGGGTTTTCATATCCACTGTGGGTAGAGCACAGATGGCCCATTTTGGAGTTTTGTGCTTAATAACAAACAAACAAAATTATTGCATAAAATATCACTAAGGCAAGTTGTTGCATACATTCGAAAATTACACACAGGAGAAAAGAAATACAAGAAATAGACAAGAGGGCTAACAAAAGGTCCCTTTGTGGCTCAGCGACAATATTGGAGGCTTATAATACCAAAGGTCGGATTTTGATAGCTATGATAGACAGAGTACAGCTAGCCTATTGTGCAGCTTTATACTTAATGACAAACAAACTCTTATTATTATTATTTTTTAATTTAACCCTTTTGATTGCTGTTTCAGAATTATATTCAAACCGTTTTTTTTTTGTAAAGTAGCTTTCACACATTTATGCTTCATATTATAATTTATGTATTTATCGTAAACAGTTTCAGTACATAAACTGAATCAAATATTTGTGAACAATCGTCATAGAGTAAATTCCAAAGTCTTAGGTATGCAATAAATGAAGAGATCTGAAATTGTTGTTTATGTATTTTAACTCCGACAATATTAAGTAAGTAACAGATGCTGGAAATTGTGGACATTTCATAAGTTCATAACACTTCAATATGTTTGCCCCTCCATTAAGAAATGTATAAGTACACTGAAAAATTATTTCACAAAATTATTTTGATGAATATAAATAAATTGTATATAAATTAAACTTTAATTACTAGAAACGAGAAACCAGCGTTTATACACCTCTATGGTTTCAATATATCATTACTTTCTATGTTTCAGAAATAAAAGTAAATACAAAATATCTGTGAAAATCACCTTTCCTTTGGCTAATAAACCGTAAGTTATGTACCCAAACTATATTATTTCTATACTTGGATGATTGTATCAAATCATTATAATAACAAGGCATGAACAGTCACTATAGAATTGTTGTAACATAGTTCTTTTGTCGTCGGGTTCTTAATTATTTGGTGAAAACAATTCAACGTTCAGTCCACGTAACGAGAGCAAATTTTTATATTTCCGCCTTTAACCTTTCTAAAAACTTGAGCATTTGTACACTGCCATAAATTGTTCTAGGCCTACGTTACAAATAAATTTCATAACTCTCTAACAATACTAGGACTACCTTAAAACCAAATCAACTTGATTTCACAAAGTAACCGCGATGGGTAACACACTGGCTGATTCACTCTTCCATCTTAAAACAACTTTATTTATTTGGAAAACAAATTATCTATTTCTAAATAATTTGCAATATTCACAACTACCTTATATTTATAAGCTAGCTTTGAATGTGTGAGAAAAACGTGATGTCAGCTTAAAACTTTCTGGGCATTCTCTGTTCTGCAACTGACAAACAAATTACAGTATTAAAATGTAGTTTGCAATAGTGTATTAATAGTTTTAATGATTGTTAAATACGGATACAATAAAAAAGGAACATAATCTACAAACATTTCAATGTGATCTCAGAAGTTTAGAACAATCATAAAAAACTTTGGCTGTTCACTCTAGAGAACAACATTAATTTTGAAAATTACTGTTAATGCTGAACTCGAAATAAAAACTTTTATAAATTTTACAATCTTTTGAGTACAAATGTCTATAAGTCAATTTTTATAGATGGCAACATATACGTTCGTCTATCTGAAACAATATGGCGAATATTGATGATGTTGCTCGTCGACGAGAAATCCGCAGAAGAAAAATTCTTGAAAATTCAGAAGCAAGATGGCAGAAAATTTTAGATTATGAAAGAAGTACATCAAAAGGTAATACCTTACCATCTAATATGATTCAAGGTAATGATTTTCTTACAGTAGTCTGAAAGTTAAAATTAGTATTTTACATACGATACAGTTTAAACTTAAACATTATTAATACTTGTAAGTTGTAGTTGTACTACAAACACTGACACTGTCGACCTAAATTTGTGAAACGGAACACTAATAGTAATAATTATATTGTTAGTCTTTCCCCTTTCGTAAAGTTGATTTCTTTCTGCGTTGTCAAATTTACTATATTTTACGCTACAGTTTACATATTAAAAATAAATGTATACTGAATACAACAGTATTGATACCCAATTAGTTGAATTCCGATGCAAAATTGATGAAATGAAACAGCAAATTTTATTTTCTTACGAATCCTTTCGTGGCTTCAAGAAATTGGATTCAACATGCACTTTGCAAGTTTTATCGTTTCATTTCAGCTTGTCAACTTCTTTGATGTAATCTCCAGGAAGAAATAAACAGAAGCAGAATTAGTATTTTTGACTGTTTTACATGAAACTTTACTTCTCTTAGTTTGTCAAAACCTCTAGATCTAAAGGCAAAACCATTGATTTGGCAACACTGAAAGTACGAGCTGACTTTGCTTTGAAGTGTCTTTTCTATAAGTAGCTCCTGCACATTCAAGAGACTAAAAATAAAATTTTATCCTCTTGAAACATCTGTAAGCTGGATTTTAGATTGATAATTATTATAAAAGTATTATAGTGCATCAACTTATATTAAAGTGTTAAAAACCATCTCTCACCACCCTGTAATGATTTTTTCTTAGCTCTTTCAAGTTTGTGCCCAGAGTGCCATATCTTTTTGAGACTAGAAATTTTTCATACTGGGTCTGTCCATTTGAGTAGCAAAAAAAGAATGACTAGCAACTCAGTGTTCTTACAGTGAACATTTAGTTATAAATTATTTCTCCATCAAAACATGCATTGTATTTATGAAAGTGTAATGACTGCAAGAAATTACATTTCCAAACACTTCATGAAGCGCAATTCATCTCTGATGTTTTATGCATAATAAATTTAGCATGTGTTTGGTATTCAGTTGTTGATGGCTTTGGGCTTTGCACTGTCTGGAACATTTTTTCTTGAAATGTTCTTGTGATGTCACATTTTATAATTATTGCACAGCCTCCCATATTATAATAAAAGTAAACTCATTATTATTTTAACCATATTTCATGTTTTAGACTTAAAACTAAGTTTTACCCAACTACCTTACACATAATTTTTTCTATCATACAGAAAGGGTTTTTTTGTACCACAGGGTAATTTCCCTACAAGTAGAAGCACTGAATTTTGTAGCAATGTAAATTGTAAATTATATGATTTATATTTCAGCAAAAGAATGCCACCATAACAAAGTAATGAAGCCAGAGTAAATAACTTAGGTAAAAAAAATAGTAAGAAATATATGATTTAACTTGTAGACCAAGCAATACTTCTACTATTATTGATACTTAAAACATTACTTCTAGCACTACAATAGTATAGGCCTATTGTACTAAATAGTAAACTTAAGTTTGGTAATACTATTGTTAGTACAATAATGTAAGGTTACTTATTAAGCTACAGCATTATTATTTACTTTTGTTTTGAACTTGAAGGTGTTATTAATATTATTATGAACTTTTAAGTTGTAAGTTTTAGTGTAATGATAGATGTATAAGAATTGAAATAGCTGACTGTAAAGTGCTGGGTGGGAATGAGAATTTTGATGTAATGGGAAGAACCGAAGCTAGGTTAACTGTAGATAATTTTGATGACACAAATATCTTTAAATACATGGTTATAGGTTATTTAAATTTTTATATAGATAGAGTACTAAAGAGAGGAGGAGGAGTATCTTTGCAGGTAAAATATGATTTACATCATATTAAAATTAAGGAATTTAGTTAGTGAATATGAAGAGAGAATGCTTTTAGTTGGAACTTGTTACAGATCACCTCCACTTTGTTATTTAATATTTTTATGTTGAGTAAGAATTTAAAATGTGTATTATGTTAACAGTTTACTATTTGTATATATTAGGTCATCAAAAAATTAATGTCACATTTTGGAACACTTTCATTACCCCCCCCCAAAAAAAAGTACATCACGCATAATAGTTAAATGGACCGCTTAAACATCATATTAGTGTAGCCTGTATAATGTGTAAAGTTTATTATACTCTAATCTCTTATAGTGATGGCACACGACAACACACATTTGGCATGTAATGCTGTTTGAATACAAGAAGGGAAACAAAGCCTCTGTAGCCACAAAGAATATCAAAGAAGTTTATGTAAATGTTTTGAACATTCGTAAGTGTCAACAATGGTTCAGAAAATTTTGTTCAGGTGACTTTAGCCTTAAAAACTGTGATGGTAGGGGCAGACACAATAGAATTGATATTTATACTCTGAAGACACTTATTGAGTCTAATCCAAGGCAACACACTTGTGAAATGGCCCTTAAATTTGCATGTCGCTCATGAAACAATACGTAAACATCTAAGGAATAGGGGAAAACTCCATAAAGAAAGTGTTTGGGTGGCTCACAAACTCTCCGATGATCATCGTTTCCAACGTGTAAACGTTGCTTTGTCTCTTCTTGCACATAATGCGCATGAATCATTTTTTAACAGAATTTTCACCGGCGGTGAAAAATGGCTCAGTCCTTTGACAAAAACCACTTCTGACCCCCAAACCTGGACTCCATCCACAGAAAATGATGCTTTGCATTTGGTGGGACATCAAAGGAATAATTCAATTCGAACTCCTCAATCCACAGCGAACTGTTAATGCAGAGATCTATAGTCAGCAACTGAAACGTTTAAATCAAGTCCTTCATCAGAAACGGCCTTCACTCGTCAATCAGAAAGGTGTTCTTCTTCTCCATGAAAATGCTTGTACACATGAATCACGTTTGAAGCAACACAAGATTATGGAGTTGGGCTGGGAAGCTCTCCTCCACCCACCATATTCTCAAGATATGGCACAATCAGATTATCATCTTTTTCGTTCGCTGCAACACCATCTTAATGGGAAAATGTATGCAAATGTGGAAAGTGTTAAAGAGGACATCAACATGTGTTTTTGCTTCAAAGCCAAGTGATTTCTTTAATCAGGGCATTAACAACCTGATTGTAAGATGAGAAAGCATCATCAGTAGGAATGGAGACTATTTCATTTAATAGATGTTTTGATATATAACTTGTTCATCTAAAAAAAAGTGACATTAATTTATTGATGACTTGCTACTTTTATAAGAAGTCATTCATAATTTTCATCAGTTTTGTAAGTGTACAAAATTTACACATTTTAATACACCCCCTCCCCTTTTCCTCAAGAAGTGGACAAGTTAGCATTTTGGGATGTTTGCCAAAGCTCATTCTTCACATGTTAGCAAGTAAAACCATTGTACAGCTGTGTACTTCATAGATTTATAAGATTTTTTCTTAACCATTGTAATACTATTGTCATAAGATATTACATAAAATTTATTAAAGGATAGCACAAAGAAACTTAGCACCTAAAACATCTTTTTATATCATGAAAACATTAGGTTTTGTGCCTTGACACGTGCTACTGATTTGATATTTGGATTTGGCACAGACATTGATAGTCATGAAGTGTTACATTTTGTAACTTGTTTAGAAATTGCATTCATCAGTTTCAGTAGGCAAATAATGTCTGAAGAAGACAAATCAAACTAACTTGGCTTATTGTAAGTATAGATTGCTTTCAATAATTTGGATGTGTTTTGAAAAGTCTTACTAAAGTTTTTGGTTCAGTAACTTTAAACAAATATTTTTTGTTCTTTTTTTAGAAAAATGTATGAATATCTCAGATGAACATGAACCTTCTCAAGAACAACCTTTCAAACTATCTGATCAATTGTATTCTGCTGAGAGAAGAAATGGTTCATCCAAAACTGACTTCAACCTGATCTCAGATGCTTCCTCTAATCCCACAGATTTAAATAAACAAGTTCAGCAAGAAGACAGTGTTTCTCCAGATAACTCAGATTGGCCTAAATCTTATGTAGTTGCTACATCAGAAGTACATGCTGATAGGACTAATCTTTCAAGCAGTAACTGTAAGTCTTCTTTACCATTTCTAAGTACTGGTAACCACACATCTAATGGAACACTGAGAAAAAGAAGTACTGCTTCTAATGCATTTCCCAAGAAAGTTTCAGATGCAGAAAGTCGTAATTACAGCCGTTCCAAAGCAGATAGACGTCGTCGAAGTAGTTGCACTCAGCTAGTATGGGACACACTTCAACTTTCCTCACTAAGTATCTCATCACTAAGGGCTCTCCTGATGCTGATATTAGCAGGAATTATTTCTTTCTTGCTTTTGGCTTTCAGGAATCTGCCTTTGTGTCAGGTTTGTTATTAAATTTCACTTATTCATCCACTTGTATGATATATTATTGTAGGGCAAACATGAGAAGTAAAGCTACAATACTTGCTTTTCTATGTTTGTTATCAAAATTTTAGTGGTTAGTGCTTGAATTTAATTTAATTTTTATTTAGATTATAAAATTTGAATTCCTAACAGTTCTAGAACCAGTTTAATCTAAAAAGCTTAATATTTAGGTTGTGTTGCTTTAAGTATGTAAACAGGTATTTTATTATATTAAGCAGAAACTTTGACAGTCTCTTTTTGTTTGAAATGAAGGAAGGTCAAGAAACACACTTTGTTTGAGATCTGAAATCCCATATAGATTTCCAGAACAACATGCTTATCTCTCTTTACACAGTAGCTATTCCTCATGCATCTGAGATTTTGAAAATGTCACTAGATTTGGGCTATCCCCCACCTAAGACATGTAACATGAACTGCAATGGTGCATAATGTAATCACCATGCGACAGTAGTCCTGCACTAATAGAAAGGTGACATATCCTCCGTGCACAATAGTTTCCCATAAGCATTTGCACTCAAAATTAACTTCATTATTATCCTTGGCATTGTCTTTAATGGACATGTTTCTTTAACTTTATATTTAAACTTAATTTTGTGAGGTTTGCACCGCCTTTTCACGATGTTAAATTTCTTTAGTTTACTTTTAGTTTAAGTTTTACCTAAGATTAAATTACCACTGAATAACTAACAAAAAGAAATTGATCTGGAGAATTACTACAGTGAACATAAATTCTCAAGTTACAGTGATTATTGCCTTGATCTGGAGTTCTGGAGATGTTGCTAACATCATCCCTACTGTGGGTTATGGAACATCTAGTCACCTCTGCTCTTGCTTCTCCTATACTTCCTGTGCAAGATATTTTATCTTTTTGGAGTTCTTTAGCATCTTTGGAACATCTTGTCCCTCTAGGCCAGGCTCTCACAAGACTTCTTCAATGGACTTTGAGTGACCAATGGAAAATCTCATGCAATCCTCTGTCCTCTTTTGTGATGCTGCTGCCTTCTATTCTCAAGGATTTGTCTTGTTGGCTAGATCATACCAACACTGTGGTCAGCATCATACTGGTTCCCCCATGAATATTTCCATCTTTTCGTCACACATCTCTTACATGTTGGGGCACATTTCTGAATGACTCCACAGCCTTGGGTTTGGTCTCTTGTGGAACTTACATTCCAAATGAATGTTCTGGAACTCTTGGCCACCCATTGGATGTGTTCCTATTTCCCACTTCATCTTAGAGTTCACTTGGTTAGGATTCACTTCGAATATTCTACAGACATTTCCCATATCAATCATCAGGGTGTGGCTAGCTCTAGGGTCCTTTGCTTCTGCACCTTTCACTTTCTGTTTAGGGCTCACTCACATCAGGTTTGTCTGCTAGCCTGTCATGTTCCAGGGGCTTTACCCTTGATGGTAGATCAACTCTCATTACCAAACAGGATTCTTCTTACAAAGTGGTTCCTCTAACGTATGGTATTTTGTTGAATGACCTAGGCCTTTGCAATCCCTCTTAATACCAAACTCTCCCTCTTTTAGTCTCTGATACCTCACCCAGCAGCTATGGCTGTGGATGCCCTCAGACAGAACTGGTCTCATCTCTTTCTGTATGTGTACCTCTCTTCTTTGCCTTCTCTCACATGCCTTGCCATGGATTTGTGACACTTTTTGTTAGGTCCTTTTGGTAGTACCTTCTTGGCCGACTCAGTCTTGGCTTCCTTATCTTCACTGATTGGTATTCAGGGTATTTCTTCCTCTGCCTCCTTCTTGTTCACTTTTGCTTCAACCTCATCTGTCTCTCTTTCATCTGGAAGTGCTGTTCTTTCATCTACACTTGTGGGATTTGTCTGGTCTCTTGCTTCATCAGTCATGTTTCTCTAACTGCATAGCCTTTCTTTTATAACATTTGTGTCACTCTTCTACTCTATCTATCAACAGCAGTAGCATGTTTTTTTGCTACTTGCCCATCCTCTGCTCTTTACCACCAGGCTGCCTACTATTTGCCCACCTTTTGGACTTCTTTACCTTGTTGTTCTAGGAAGGCTTGTGTCAGTTTCTACTATTGTATGTTATTAGTGGCATTTTCGACTACCGTTTGCCTTTTTTTGCTGTAGTTCTGTCTTCCCTCCCCTGTTCTTTCCACTTTGTTCCGATCTTTTGTAATTCATCATCTCCCTCATCTGGTTCCTTTGCCCAATTGGAACATTGACATGGTTCAACACACTTACCCAGGCTCTGTTTGAAACCTTGGCCCTTTCTCCTTATACTGTCTCTCTCTCTTAAAACCTACTTCCTTGTCCTTCTTGCTTGTGGTCATGGTGGATCTGATCTTTATGCATTGAATGCTTCCCATACTTCTTTTCACAGATCTTCCATGACTGCTTGTTTCTTCTTAAGACTTGAGTGGCTCAGGAGTGAGATCATATCTTTACTCCCATATTTTGTTGATCTCTGTCCTCTATGATTGTTACTTGGTATGCACGGATCCATTTCGGGGTTCTCACAATAATTTATTCATGTCATGGAACCTCTCTTCTTCCAAGGATCTCTCTTCCTCTACATTTACTGGATGGATTTGTCAGGCCATTTGGATCATCTTTTCTTCCCTGGATGGAGATTCTTGCAGGCTGCATCATGTCTCATCATATCAAATCTGCCACATGATGTGCAAGCACAGTTCATTTTCTGATACTTGTCTTAGGTGGAGATAACTCAAGGGTAGTGGCATAGGCAAAATCACAAAGGCACATGCGCAGAGAATAGCTGCTATGTGCAGAGAGGTAGGTATCTATTGGAAATACATTTTCAGATAAGGAAAATGTTAACTTTTTAGTTTTTGGTGGGTATGGTACTTTGGTAAAAAAAATCATACAATGGTATAACAAAAATTGGTTATTTTGTTGTAACAAAGAAGAAAAAAGGCTCACACAAAGCTTCTTCAGTGGATTCTGAGTAACCAATGGAAAATCTCTTGCAATCCTCCACCTGACCTGAGAAGCAAAAATAAATCAAGTCTTAATATTAATTTCATTACACTTGAATATTTTTGACAGTGATCTACTGTTAAAACATTTGTGTACAAAATCTATTTAAAAGTAGTTAAAAATTTTTTTTTAAAGTTTTATGTTTTATCCTGTAGGTTTTAATTTTATTAACTTAGTAGAGTAAGTTTGCTATGTTTTGATTAGATTTTTTAAATTGTATAAAACTTCCAATTTGTGTAATTAAAACCAATTATTCTTAGTACACACACATACATGCAGTATTGTGCTTGATGTAAACTGGGAACTTGCATAGGAACCTATAAAAACAAGACCTTTATTTTACATTAACACAAAGTGGGCTAATTTGACCCATCTTGGAAGTATGAAACTATACATACTTTAACTCTGAACTTAAGTGTATCTTCATGAAATTTAGCAAAAAAATTAGTTTTATTAAATATTTGTGCATGAATGCATAGTGAAATGAAAAGTTAGAAATTATGAAATAAAGTGAATAAAGTCATTTTGTTTTTCTTGAATTACTGCAGATTGTAATAGAACAATTACAATTATTTATCCTAATAGTCTCAGTTTCTAACCTTTTTACATCTGCTTTATCTAATTTTATGGTTTTATTGCTGTACTTTTGGACCCTATCTGTGTGAAAAGCAATAAATCACAGTGGGATGTTTCTGGAGGAGCTTTGGGTAAACAAAAATCAGGTTATAGCCACACATATACTGCAAGTTTGAGTTATAGATTGACTGAGCTCATGAAATTTAAAAATATATCTTAGTTTTGTTATATAGCCTGTGAAGTTTCTAAGTTTTTGTCTTTACTTATGTTTGTTAAAAAAATATGTAATAAAAAGTACTCATAGTAAAACAAGAAATTTAATGTGTCTTGGTTTAGGCCTTTTGCACTCAATACCATGACATAGTACCTCTACTTTTTTTTCTCACTAAGTTGGTAAAATAAAAATTCATGTAGCTTTGAAATATGCATCTTAGAACAAAAAAGTATGTCATTCACTAAAATAGGATGTCCCAAAACTGTAATAATTTAACTGGCTTTCTAACTAAGCTTTTCACAATTAAAAAAAAAAAACAACTCATTTGCTTTTAACTGTTGAACAACAGTGATCACAGACAACTGTCTACATATGAACAATAAAAAGGAATAATGGTGATAAGGTTTTTCAATGATGAAAAAAATGCTCTTTCAGTTGGTATTAATCTTGTCCATGAAATAAAGACAAACTGTTTAGATAACTGCCATAAAAGTTATGAAAAGGTGAGAAGGGCTTTTCTGATAGGTTTGACCAACTTATTGATATATCAGCAAATCGAGAAGGTAGGAAGTTCAAATTTTATATTCTTGCCTTTTGTTGTATATGTTTCTATTTGGTTGGAAATTTTGAAAGCCATAATAGGGAAGTTATTAAATATAAAAAGGAGAATTCAAAGTTGAGATAAATATTGGGACACAGAGAAGTGAAGATTGAGGATTTATTTAAATATCTGCTTTTGAAATTAAGAAAAGGAAACTTAAAAAATATAAATATTTGAATTATAATATTTTTGATGCCAAGTTTATTAACATACATGGATATTAAAGTTGTTTAGTTAAATTATAAATCTAACATTAAAAATAATAACATGCTTACTTTGACCCAGTCCTACTGAAGTAGTTAAGCTATAAATCAAATATTACATGGTTCAGACTTATTTCTCTGTTACAGGGATCAATAATGTTGAATAACTGTTGAATCAGTTTTGGAATTTTACAGTCTAAGTGAGGACATAGATTTGTAGTGTATATGAATATATATATATACAGTAACAATACCATTAAAAAGGATTTCATCATACAATAAATTTAAAATCATTTGCCCATATTAACAAATATAAAATGAAATACATTTCTACCCTGCTCTTTGTTTTGTCCCTCAAAAAGCAATAAGAGAAAAGAGCAAGATAAAGATAACATTACTTTTTCAAGGAGGAAGTGAAATAACAATAGTGATGTTTTGTGTAAACTAGGATATAACCATCATGACTTTTATAAGGTAACACTATTTGTTAAGGCTTGTAATTTATCATAATTTGTTTTTTTTTGTTTTTTTCTATAAGAATAGAATTTCTTTTCTGAGGGATATCTTTACCTGTCGGATACATTCTTTGGTGTACATTGTGCATGATTTTTCTACAGCTCTTACAGTACTATATGTTTTTGGACTAATATGAGAATCAAAAAGTCTGCTGAATAAGCTAGGTGTGTGAGGCCACAGTTTTGGAAAGTACAAAATGGGTTTTTCCTTACATCAGTTTTTATCATTTCCAAGAAGCTGTTAAGACTCTTAATAATAAACAAACTTTAGAAAAGTTGCAATTTTATAGAACTACATACTTTATAGGAAGAGGTAAAATGAGACTATTTCAAGAAGGAAAATGTGCAGCGTTCAGATTGAGGTGTTCATGATGATATAAAAAAATCAGTGGAGCCAAAATTAAAGTATCTTATGCAATGTTAAATTAAGAAATGCTATACGTGTTCCACAAGTTCAAGTATTTTGCCGTGATCTCTTGATTTGAAAACCTTTTGGATTTATATTCCTTACCTTGCTGGCACTTGCATTGTTTGTTTAAGTTAATTGATGCATCAATCAATTGTATGGTCATTAGAGCTAACCAGCAAGTAATATTTAAATTCATTATTTTTAATTATAAAAGTCCTTGAATTTTGTTTTCCAAAAAGTGTATGAATCATGGTTTAAAGTCAAAGGTATAGTTCTAATAAAATAAATTAAAAATTCACCAGCTTTATCTTAGCTCTTGCACCTGTGTAAAGGTTTGTGATAACCAAAAGGACATTTAGAATAGCAGAGGAGTATTTCATAACATTTCCCATTAATCCTGAAAAAAAACAAGATTTTCATTGACCTAACGTCTTTTCCTTTAAAGCAAAAATATTAGCCTACTTAATTTGGTTATTATTCCTAGCATGAGTTTAAAAATGTGTGTACAGTAGTTACAAACAATGAGAGAACATAGCTGAGACTAGTGTAATTTTTCTATTATCACCAAAATTAAATTGCAGTGAGAAAGAAATGTGAAGCCAAGCTTATAATTTGATTTCCATGTGTCACTGGATTAGACTGGTTTTTTTGTACAAACAAACTAAAACATCATACACAGCTGTAAATATTGGCACATAACACACAATTCCATCTATCTTCATTGTATTTGTTTCTAACATTGTTAAACTTTCAGGTAGGTGTAAAATTATCGTTGTTTACATGAATCACAGCTCCTTAAGTTGAGATAAAATGTTGTTTGTAACATAAATGTGATGGTGAAGTAGGAAAGTGAATGTAATAACACACATTCATTTTTTCTAGCTCTTAACAATCTTGCAACCAGTAATTTCTGAGTCATAACTATTAAAGTTAAGAATATTGACATGGGAAAATTCATTGCATGTAACAGGAATATGAAATGTTCTTGGTATGTCAAATTCTAAAAAATATCTATCAGTACTTTGATGCATGGTAAAATATGCCTGAAAAGTGCCTTCAAACTTTGCGTTTTCATTTAAGTCACTGAATAATGCCAGAATTACAAACCTCAATTATTATTTTTACACTGTATGTGGCAGTTTCTCTAATTTCTATCATTGCATTGTTAGAAGGTTAGTATTTTGTGATTTTAATTTTTTATTTTATATTCTAAGCTACCTTGTTACATGTGTTTAATGTCAGGTTATGTTTATTTCAGTCTGTGTTTGTGCCATTCACGCTGGTGGAATTGATGATATATGTGTACTGCTACATCAAAGGAAGTTTTAAGGTAAGCATAAATAGTTTAGAACAGTCAGGTCTGTATAAAAATAAACTAGTTATGCAAGTTCTATGTGAGAATACTTTTGTTGTTTGTGTAAAGGTTCTGAAAGCAAGAAATATGCAGTTATTTATTTGTGTAAAAGTTGAAAAGTAATGCTACATAAGCTGCATACTGTATAAATAATTGGCATTTTGATAGTACCCCTTGTATTAACAAAGTATCTCCAACTATCAATGTATTATCCTTAGACCTGAGATATGCAGGTAGCCTTTGAAACAAGAAATGAAGTATTGTGATTGGGTACTTGTAAAACATATCTATGATCTACTGAGTATTTATAAAAAATTATGAGATTTTTAGCTTAAATTATACTAATTTTTTACGCTTCTCTGTTAATGTGCTTAACTAAAGTCTTATTCACTTAGTATAAGGATTCTTTTTTGTTTGTAAGGATGAAGGAAATCCTGGAGTATCTGGAAAAATAATGAATTTACTTCAAAAGATATTAATTACTAGCTGGAGTACACATCCCCTGGACAGAAGTTATGTAAATTCATGATTAATAAAAGGTTATCTTAGGACATTAAAAGTTGCTTCCCTTATATGTAATTGTAAAAACACAAAATGTGAAACTGTAAGTTTGCATGTATCTCTGCATGGGCCCGTTGAACCTCCATACCAAATTTTGTGAAGATATATCCAGAGGAGTTGGGGTAGTGGTAAAAAACACCCATAAAAACTGCAAAAAAAATTTGTAAGTATCTCCCAATCTACAGGGGGCAAAGTAGTGGTAAAAAATGCAAAAACACCCATAAAAACTGTAAAACACAAAACTGAAAATTTGTATGTAACCCTGCATGGACCTAATGAACCTCCATACCACTTTTGGTGAAGATCCATCCACACCCTGCAAAGTAGTTACATGGACATACAACAGACAGTACTATTATATTTATATAGATTATAATCATGGAGTTTGAAATAATTGTTGGCAATTAGCAAATTACTGACTAAACCTAGAGATAGGAAATGACATTTTAAGAATATCGGCTTTAGACTGTATCAGCTACAATTTTTAATTAAATCAGTTTTAACAGAAGTTTTTGTTGAATTTGAGCTAAATAAGTGTTAATGGGTTTAATAATAACATTAAAACTGAGAAGTATAAGGTTTGTTAATACCTCTAGCTTAATTAACTGATTAATCATAGGCCATTACTTAGTGAAATAGTGTGAATGAAGGACAAAACTGTGTCCCTAGAATGTGAATTTATAAATTAGAAAATGTTTTCTTTTTTACTTGTACCTAAGTCGTACAATAGAACAAGGAAGCTTAGTTGTGTAAAATATAAATGTGAAGTAAACAGTATACTAGAGCTGGGCATTTTAATAGATAGATTACACATGTGCAACAATTACATTGATTAGTGTCACGTAGACTAATCAATTAATTGTAATTATGATTAAATAGGTTAATACAAATTAGCACTTCCAATTAGTACTGTTTTTGATTATTTCAACAATTGATTAATCAAAATTATGATTAAATGAATTACCATGAAAATAATAAAGTGTTTTGAATAAGTGTTTTTAATTATTTCTCTTTGATAACTTCAACAATCAATTAATTGAAATTACTGATAAATAGATTGACACAAAAATAATTAACTAATTGAAATGAAGGTTTCCAATTGTTATTATTTTCAGTTATTCAAGCTATCAAATTAATTGGAATATTAACACCAAGTTTTCTTGCCTTGTATTTGATATGGCAAAGCTACAAAGGCTACCTTCCACTGTAACTATGCTTTAACTGCTGATTATAGGGAAAACAACTGGCTGGAAGTACCCACAATCAGTTATGGAAGCCAACATTTAAAGAAGAAATTAAAAAGAAAATTTTTTTTGCTTATACCTACCATGATTTGAGGAACAGTGTACTAACTCTTTGGTCGAACATAATTGAATAATGAATATGTTGGCTAATCAATTTGCAAATAACACCAATTGCCCAGCTATACAATACACATAGTACTGTGTCTATTCTCAAATTTGTTAAAGTAACATCTTAAATGCCTTGAAATGGACAATGTAGGTTTGTGTAAATATGCTGTATTGTAGTCCTATTTGTTTTATATCTTGGTTTGTATTCATTCATAAAAAAAAAAACTTCTCTGGTGTTTGAAAATTGTTAGATAGTTTTGTGTTTCTCTCTCTTAAATTTAAATTTCACAAGCCTATATTATGAAAGCTTGAAATCATTTCCACCTACTGCTGTTCATATTGTCCAGCAAGCTTGAATAACTTTAGTCTCAATGGCAGTACATAACTTAACAAAATCACAATCTTAAATACATGCTACATGTATAAAAGTATGTCAGTAAATTTTTTGTAAAAGTTAGTGCTTTCAGTATATTGGAAATTGAGCATATCAATAGAGATAGGTAAGAATTTTATATTAATATAATTTTCAATATTGAAGGAATTGACTTATGAAAATTTTCTAATTTGCCATATACATACTTCAAGATAATATAAGAATGATACAGAATTTTTATAGATTTTTTACTTGAATTGATATATTCTAGTATTAGCATAAAACTATGTTGAAGCCTAATGTACAAAAACAATTATAGTTATTAGAGTATTTTATTATTCAAGTGTTATTCATAAAGGTGACATTATATCCAATTTTTTTTTCAAAATATATTTAAGAAGTTTTAAATCATAAATATATGTTGGACAGCTTCCGGGCAAAACAAAATTTTTTCAAACTGGAATTACCTAAGAACACAGTTGTCATTCTCTTTCAGGTACTGAATTGGAAGGTGTTGAATCACTAACTTGAGAGTGATTTGTTTCTTTTAAGTCTTTTAGGAATTTCTGTACATCAATAAGTGAACAGTAAATTACTTTGTTTTTGGATCAATTGAGACAGGTTGGATAATTCCTGAATTACTTAAAAATGTGATGTGTGGAATTAAAAAATACTGAGTCAATGAAAATTTGTATACTTAATTTTTAGAAATATATTTTTTGATTGATCACATTAATTATGTTATGCTGCTTCTATTTAACTCTGAACCAAATTTGTTTAAATTCTTCAGGCAGCTTCTAGGACAACCTCTGCGTCACTGATTACAGCAGCACTAATTCTTTGCGGTGTCTCATCGTCTATCATCAGTAAGACAAGTATATGTCTAAATATACTCCAAGATGTCAGCACAGACTTTGCAGTTTATTTTTTTACATTTCTTGTGATGCATGTGCTTTTTCTAGATTGGCTGTGTTAGAGCATTACTATTTGGCTTTGCTGAGCTAAATTGTGTAAATTACAGTATAGGGCTGGTATGCTACCTTGCAACTTATTAAAGTACCTGAATTTGTGATTTAGCAATCAGATGTGTGTTGTATGAAAGTGTGGTGAGAAAGGTACGACAGACATAAAGATTACAAAACTGGTAATATGTGTGTCAAATGTTCTACAAAATTTAATAGGACTGAACCTTCATTTAAAAAATTGTAGGATAAACTTTATAAAATTAATAAGTATATAAAAGTTTAGTAAGTCATTACATTTAGTCAGATCTAACAAAGGTATTAAAAGCTACACAATGCCAGATAGAGGCATGTTTTACCTAAAAAAAGCCCTTATTTTAAAATATCTTTAAAAAAACATAATTGTTATACACTGATAACTTATTGGTGATTATAAAATTGATTTACAGGAGTCTGGTTCTCTTTGTGTATTGGGCACTAGCTTCTTTTACTATTTGCATTGACATTGTTAATTTAGTGATAATGAACAGTATAGAAATGTGATGAATCAGTAATTTACTTTATTGTAGCCACATGTGCAAATAAGTTGACCAGTAACTCCATGTGCAGGAAACTAGTCATTTGCTGTAATTTTTTTAGATGTACTGTAGTGTTGAATACCCATCAACCATATTTATATTCACCACATGTGGATGTATAGAGAATGTAATAAAATAAAAAGAAAAATAATTTAATCCAAAAATATAATTTTACTTTCTTAACAATAACTTTGAATGGTACACATTATGAATCCTTTACTTATTTGGTTTAAGATTAAAAGGGCAGCAAACAGTCAGTGGTAAACTAGTATGTAAGAGCAGTAGTTCAGTTAGTTACCTGAGTGGTTCATTTCTTTCATGTCTATGCTATTATGAAAATCAAACTAACAGTTCTTTTCATAATGAAGAACCTACATATGAACTTACTACAGTTTATTCTCTGCTCATTTTAACCACCTTTTCCACAAAATTCACAGTTCAAATATTCCACCAAGAGTCAGCTTGTTCTTGTTTATTTATATTTCATCCAGAACTGGTCTAATTGCAGATAACCAAAAAACTCAGCTACAACTGCAGAATACATTGTGTTTAGATTGATAAGGCCATAAGATGGAGAAAAAAATGGTGGTGGCAGTTCAAATGTCAGAAGTATAAAATATTATTTTTAGATAATAGACAAAATCTATTGTTTTGTGTGTATTCTTCCATTTGTAAGCGTGGACATTTATTTTTGTTGATGAAAAAATTAATAATGGTATTTGCCACTGCATATTTTGAATCAGTTTTACATTTGAAATGATGATCTGAAGAGAAAAAAAAAAGAAATTCAGTCTCATAAACACACTTTGAAATTACCTTTTGTGATGTGTTATTCATCACCAAAATATTTCATTTTAAAATGTTTTTCAGTTATTGATTAACAGTATTTACATAATGTGAGTGTAAGGCATTGATTTCTACTTATGAATAGGAATGGTTCACAGATAATTATTAAATTTCATTTTGGAGACTTGGGAAAGGTGCACAAAAATGCACTCAGTAGTGCCGGTTTATGAAACACCAATGTTGCATTCTGAATCAACTTCAAACCTGATGTGGTACTGTATGTAATTTGAAATCCAGCCTTTCTATGGGTATTATATTTGTAATAAATACCCAGTACGTGTGATTAAATCAAAACTTGAGGTTAAATATTCTGACTAGTCAGTGGTAATATTTCTAAAATACAAGGTATTAAGTTTCATCAGCTGCAAAGGATAATCGTAATGTCTGATTCATTATTACGCAGTTATGTTGTGCTGAAGGATATATTTAGTTTGCTGTTTCAAGAAAATTTTTAAAATAGTAATAAACTCTTACATGGTGGATTAAGAGTTAGATGAAGGGTCCTGACAGAAAAGTTCAGATCAATACCCATAATGACCTAGGGCTCAAAGCATGCAGATTTTAGGTAATGTTCATCAATGAGTTATACTATTGGTTTAGACCATCCCTTGATAAAACAGTTTTGATCCTGTCTTTCAAATACACCAATATTGCTTGCCTGTAATTTAGATATATACAATGGTGCATGTACACATATGACTGACTTACCCCTATTCAAGTATTAGATATAATCTGACTTTAGGTAGTAGCAATTTATACTCCTGCTGGTGTTTTAATATAAATATGACTAAGGATTACTCGGACAACAGTGAATGAAATGTATGGAATGCTTGTGTGTATGTTATGATGAATATAACAACTTTTCCATCTTCTCTATGCTTGTACAGCTCTATTAGTGTAAATATTACGTCTTATTAGACTTCTGCTGATGACAACTTTTTCTGAAGATTTGATAGCCTAAGATCTCTCTTAAATGTGTATTCAAAGTAAATACCACATTTTTTTCCTTGTTAGCTTTGTGCTTGTCTGTTTAAACCCACACTGTTGTAAAGTGTTGTACGTCTGTACTTTATCTGTTATCAGAAGATTTTACATGTACCAAGTTGAAATAATGATTAATGGAACTGTGGGGTGGGGAATATATATATATATGTACACACAGAAGTTTAGAAAGTATTATTCAAACTAAATCTTTCTACAGTTTTTGTTTTTATAGAAAAAATTTGGGAATCTTGATAAGTTGGAAAACTGCAAGCTGTTATGATAATTACTAATTTGTGAAATGCCATACACTTCTGACTCATTTACAAAATAAAAAAATTAACCTATATGGTGGTATTATGAATATCTGAGACAATCGAATTTTCTTCTCATAGTTTTAGCATTGACCTAAAAATTATCATTTTCTAGGTGTTTGATTTATATAAGATTATTGTGGAGATCTTGTTCAAAGAAAATTTTAACACATTAATAGTGTAACAAATGTTTCAAAATACCATAAAGGGTTTTCAAAGTAGATTTTTTTCATTCTTTTTTTTTTGTCCAATACCTTGATGAGGATGGTGAATCCAATGAAACTTAGCAGCAAGAGATAAAAAAATCAGATCTTAGTATTTCCTTTCCTTAAACTTAATAGGATAATACAGTTATTTGTTTTTATTTCCTTTTGCATGCTGCATAAAAATGAACTGTGGTTCATATGTATTATTGAACAACATAATGTAAGAACAATTTGAAATACCTTTTTTTACCGGCTTTAGTGGATTATTAATTTAACAGAAGTTGAGTTAGTATAGATGTTCCAAGTGTTACTAGCAGTTTTGAAAATAGTACCTTTAGAAAAACACAGTTTATGCATATTTCAGAATGTAATAATGAGTTTGTCTTTAACATGACAGAATTGGGTTTCATAATCATTTAATTTAAGCAGAATCCAAATAAAAGAAAATATTATTGTGGGGAATATAATTATTTCCATAAAATAATGATTGATAAATACATTGGGGGATAAAAATCCTAGGATTGGTCAAAGTTTGATAGGATTACTTTAATCTGTTTTCATAAACTGCTTATTTACCAAGAACAATATCAAATACAATCAGCTATATCATCTCAACCCGTAAAATAAGCTTAGATAAACCCATAACTGAAGAATTGGTTATGTAAGTTTCTAAACGTATTTAGTGTATTTTGTAGTTTGATTAACACCAAATTCTTACTTAAATTTTTTTACACAAGTACATTTGTAAAGAGTTATATACTGCTTTAGTTTTGGAATTTTTGTTTGTTTAAAATACAAAATTACTAATTGGACATAGTCCTGAAGAACAAACATACTCTTATCTCCTGTTGAAAACCACAGACTTTTAATTTATCACTTTCAATAGATGCTGGTAGGTTTATCCTAGAACCATACTAAATCATTCTAGTTCTTTTCTTTTTTTGGCATGTATAATATAATTATTATTTCCAGTTGATTCAAACATCTGAATAAGAAAATGTTTTTGGTATATATTTAAAAATATCTATATGCTATGTGTTGGGAAAAGAAGACTTAAAAACTGTGTTTAAGAATCCTTTAAATAATACATATTACAAGTTTTAATGAAATGAAACAAGATTTTGCAAGCAGAAATATATTATTTTTGACATATCTTTCTGAGAGTTTAATATGATCATTTGATTGAAATGAAGACTTAAACTTAATCAGAGTCAAGAATAAGAACCCATGTATATGATTTACTACAATAGGAATGTTATGAATTAAAAACCACCCTGTCATTATCAGAACTAGTAAATTCTTATTGTGGTTATATTAATTTGGAGACCATAAATACCAGTATGTAGTGGTGTTATTTAGCAGTCTCTGTATTAACCTATTTCATTATGATACTCATTTTCGTGTCATTAAAGTTATAGACTATTGTGTTTGTGAAATCAGAAGCTGGTTTTAAATTGCTATCACTTCAATTCTTATCTTCTTAGCCTCCACTTTAAAGGTTAATTGAAAAAAATATTAGAAAGCCTTTACCAGGTTTGAATATAATTTGCACACACAGTGATAATTTAGTCCCCAACTCAGTGAGTAAAGATAGTGTTTTAAGAAAATATTACTATTGAGACAGTTGGAAAGTGTGGTAGTTGCTTAATAAATTTTTGTTGACTAGAATTTAGAATGTTTGTTGAGGTAATAATTTTGAAATTAACTTCATACTTTATGTGAAAACAAAATTGTGTTATGCATTAGTTCTTAAATGTGTTCAGAGTAAGTTTTGGTAAGCATTTTCTTTGTTTCCTGATGAAATGCAAACATGTAAAATTATAAAATTGGTAAATAAAGTTATTTGCATAGCTCAGGTAATACTTGATCACATTTTAGTTTCAACCTTGAAACCATTTTGAAGCTTAGGTTAAAGCAGCTTGATATTAAGTGTAAATACAATATGCAATTCTTGACACCAAATTCCAGACTCCAGTATTGCAGTACCAACTTTAAGGAAGTAAATATTGTAATTATTGTCCTGACACACAATTCATCATTCAACACTGCTCTTCATGTAACTGGACAACAGCTGTTAAGTCTTGACTTAAATATCTTATCTATTAACTAAACTTAAACATTTTATAAAGCTCTGAATAAATATTTTTTTCATTTTATTGATAATGTACAAACTGAACATTGTAACTGAAAAGCATTTATCTTGTATTCAAATTCAAAACATATGAAAGCACATAAAATAGGAATTGTGTATGATCATGGAAATATGTCTAATAATAACCATTTTAAAATTAAACAAAATTATGAAGCTTGTCTATTCTTTCATATTATACTTAAGTTTGAATGAAAGTATACATGGATCTTACCTTATGAATGATTAACACAATAAACTACAGATTGAATTCCAATATATTTAAGCAAAAATGACTGTTGTAATGTATATAAACTCTTACAGTTGAACCAAGTCCATTAATATACAGCTGTTTTGCTCTGTTGGGCTAAATCTGAACACAAGAAATTGTACTCTTTCTACTTTAATCAATGAAATATTTGTCAAAATGTCATCAGTTTCACACTTGCAAATTGGTCTTTATTAATGCACAGGTATAAATAGTGCCAATAGTGTAGTGACAATAACCATCATAAAAACATTTTACCAATGTTATGTATATTCTATGGCTCATTATATGGTGAAACTGTTTTAAAGGTCTGTTTTACAGACTGAAACAAATACTTTGGCAAACAAATTCTCTAAAATGACAGCTGAAATCTTAAAAATTAAATGCTAGTTCAACAATTGTATTGATAATGTGTAACAACAGTTTCTGAACAATTGTAATAATATTGTTGGTATTGTATTATAACGTTATCATGCAATACCTGCTAACTTTGGTAATGTCACAATTGATGAAGATTGAAAGTGGCAATGTATTGTGTGAACAACTGTATTTGAACCATCCATCACCAATGTGGAGACACATTACAATAGGTGCACCTTTTTTTATGTGATTTTCCAACCTTTTGATCCTGTTTTACTATCAGTGTCACGTGGTGACAGTCACCACCACTAATTTTTGGGAACTTTTAAAATATATACATAAAAAATAAGATTTACTTGTTTATGAAGGTAATTGTCAGATATATAAAAAAAATACTGACATGTAACTTTTTAAAGCACTATCTCTAGTTGTGCCAAATCCATCTGAATCAGGACTTGCTGCACATTTGATGTTAGTATCTGTCACAGAGCCAAATTTACTGCAGTATTACATACTTGTAAAACCCATAATTTTTATTAACTCTGATACTTATGGTCATCCTTTACACAAAGAGAGTATATTTTCTATATCTGGAGAGAGCACTAGCTTATGTTGAACATGACCCAATACAGTCATATCTCCTGCATCTTTGATTAACCTCAGTGAAACCAGATCCTGAAGGAATCCCACAGGCGTTCCCATCTCAACATTCATTACCACAGGCCCTAATCGCAATCGGGTCTTGCCAGATTTAAGCACTTGAAGTTTACCAATATAGCCCTCTGGTAGATCAGCCAAACTGCAGCCAAACTTGGAAGGTAACTGATCCTACAGAAAAATATCTATGTTATTAAAAAAATGCAGACAGCAGTATAAATATTAATGATTCTAACACAGGCCAGAGTATATGTTTTTATTTTACTGGTGACATTTAAAACAACTATTTGAGGCACCTCTGACTTTTCTTTCATCACTGACAAAATGGTCTAAAACTATATTAAAGCAAACATTTAAATGTGAAAACTTGTTTTGTCACTTAAAACACTTGTTATAGTTTTGAACCACGCATGTAAATATTTTACCTTGGAATTATTCTTATAACACAATATTTCCTATTATTAACTCGCTTGGTGGTACAACCAGAATCATATAGACTTTTCAAGTTAGCCTTTATACAAAATAATAATGTTGGTTGTAAATTTTCTTGTAGAACAGTGTCACTTTTTATTTTGATTACATTTTTGGGTTCTTTATTAATTTTTTATCTTCTCGTCAAATCAGAATTGATTTCTTAAAACCAAGCTATAGTGAAGAAGAAAAAGAAAGAAATGAAAAAACACAGTAGTATGCAGGTGACAGAAACTAGAACAAGGACAAGAAATCTGTGAAACAATTATCTTGCTGAGTGAGCTAGTGGTGGAAGATGAGAATGTATGTTTATTATCTCACAATGAAACAGATATGAAAACCAGTGATTTAATTTTAAATTTTACATATGAAATAAATTGCTTTAAAACTTACACCTTCTCCTTTTTCTGTTTTGATGGATGATGTATGCTTGTTACTTTCTGTATGTTCAGTTTTAATGTTAGGCTTAACCTCCTCATCTGGACTATCAACAAATCCAGGAAGAATAGTTGGAAATTGAAAAAATAAAAGTTCTGAAATTGAAATAAAAATGATAATTTTCTTTACACAAAGTCATTAGAGTAATCACTGTAAATTGGACCTTAGAATTGTTTATAGACTATGTCTACATAATATAAACAGTGTATATGTTGGGTTATTGAAGTTATACTTACTAAAAGGAGAAAATTGAGAATGCTTTCACATCAGTGTAAAGATTAAGAATTTTCTAAATATTTTCTTTTGTGATTAAGGAATTAAAACTTAGATAATATAAACTTTAATTATCAACTGCACTTTGATGCTAATTTTATTGCCATACATTAATAATAAAGTAAATTTGTGAAACTGTAAAATGTCTTGATGTGCAGAACAGCCAAGATCATACTCAGAGGGTTAAGAGTAAAAGCTGGCCTGCAGAGGTCGATTGCCTATATGCTAAATATAACCTTGAGATTACCAAAAGTTTAAAGGTATCATTACATAGCAATCCAAAATTATTTAAAATTCAACTATTAACACATCCATAACATGAAACAAAGCTGTTGATTTTACCTGATTCCTGAACGTTGGTAAACAAATCTTTCGCTGTGATTTGTCCTTTCTCACTTTTACTTTGTTCTTCACCTTGTACATTTGGTTTCAAGTCAGTTTTCATTTCCACATCATCATCGTCCACTGGTTCTTGTTTAACTATAATCACAAAAAGAGATTGTCTTAACCATTTTCTTCTAGAGTTAAATTATACACCATTTAAGATTTTTCATCTCACATACACCAAAGGTTGGATTTGCAAAGTTTATGCTTTAAGTCTCATGACATTTGAACAAATGAAAAACTTAATTTAATAAGCTACTGGGATAAACAGTTTTACATAAACAAAAGAAGTTACATTAACCACAAGTTACTCTCTATTATATACACTTGTAAAACAAGTTTATTCAACTGCACTGCAACTTTATACTATTATTTTTGTCTACCTTATTTTCATGTTTTAATTTTATTATGCTAGTAAAAGATATTGAGAAACAAACGAAAAAAAAAATGAATATTCAGTTGAATAAAATGGTTTATATCTTTGAGTATGGATATTTTGCATTGGAAAGGACTGTAACATATACCTGTCCCAAAAGTGATAAATTTTTGGTGGCACCAAACTATGTACAGAATGCTAAGCAATGTCAAAATGGAATTCTGATACATGTTGTTCTACCAAGCCTATACTGGTTACAATTTTTAACGTGACTTGCTGATTTGTATATTAAAATGTGTTTTAATACAACATACTCAAAACATTGTATTTGCTGCATTTTTAAAACATTCCTGAGCTGTATATGCCTGGTCCATTTTCAGAACTTCTTGGGGTACTAAGTTTAATGATTTAAGAACTAATATACCTTTTTGTGAAAACTTTGTATGGTTTTGTTGTGCTATTAAGCTTAATTTTGGAACTATTTAATTTCATATTTTGATACAAAAACTTTAATTAAATATGTCAAACATTTTTGCACATAATTTTAGCTCTTAAATATATTTCAAAATAAAATACAACCAAGTGTTAGCAAATGAAATGTTCTATCAAAATTGGAAAAAAAAACACAGTAGTCCAACTTTTTGGATATTTTCTCCAAACTCTGGCTTCTGTGGAATTGTATTTCTAAATAATGCTTATTTGACAGGACAAATTTTAAAACACACAGGGAAGGAAGTATTATTCAATATATAAACTGTGTGTATCTTACTCCAAAAAAGAGAATTACACAGAAACCTTCTAACTTAACATTATCGCGGAATTACGTAAAAAGAGCCAAGCTTATTGATGTTTTTCCCATGAGAATAATGGTTGAATGGAAGAGTAAATGGCAATGCTCTGTACAGAAAACAATGTAATATGATACATCATTTGATTGATTAAAACCTTGGCTTTCTATTGGATATAAGTACTATAGTATTAAACTTAAGAGAGAACTATTGGCAATTGCTGAAAGAGAGAATGTGACAGGTGAGCATGGCAAGAGGAGCCTGGTTGTCTATTTCATGGCTCTGTAACCAAATAAGTTTAAAGGTTATGAAAATTATACTTTGCCAGAGTGATGACAATATCATAATAAGTAGTTTATGTTAAATTTCGTATTTCTTGGAGGGGTGGTAAATAAATTAGAGGAGATGCCTAGAGAGCAAACGTCACAATTCTCATACTAGGGGAAATTCAAATGTTTTCTTCTTATATTACATTATAAAAGTAAGAATTTAAAACTTGTATACTATTAAAATATGGATTATTAGCTCCATTTTATGCTATACTTATAGGTGTACCATCAAAAGATAGTAGTTTAATTAAATTCTGAATGTAACTCACTAAAACCTCCTGATATGCGTAGAAAATGATGTCTGTGGAGAGAGAGTTAACAAGAATATTTCAAAATTAGTAACATTCTTTAGAATGGTTATTTTTCAGAAATTCTGTATTCAAATATATAAATGTACACCATCTTACTTCTAATTCTCTGCTTCCCAAGGAATACATCATTTTTATTCTCAGTCTTAATTTCTTGCTTCACTGAGTTATACAGAGGAAGTTGGACAGGCTGAATCTTTTCTCCTCGTTCATTTGGGTCATCAATAAACTAAATTTGTGAGAAATAGGTTTCATTGAAAATTTATCAGTTACAAGAATACTCAGAAAACCTTTCAGTAATTGTAAGAAAACTACTTCAGGTCCAGTAGCCTAGTATGGTCTTTCAGTAACATCAGTCTACTTTAGATCCAATTACCTAATGCAGCATGTCAATAATGTTAACCAACTTTAGATCCAGGTGTATAAACCAGTAGCTTAGTACAGTCTTTCAGTAACAGCAACTTACGTTAGACTATTCATTCATACACCTGGACTTAATTCAGTTTATCTATAACATCAACTTTCCTTAGGTCTGGGTGTATGAACTAGTAGCTTAGTGCAGTCTTTCAGTAACATCACCCAATTTTAAGTCCAGGTGTATAAACCAGTAGCCTAATACAGTTTATCAGAAACACCAATCTCTCTTATGTCTGGGTGTACGAGCCAGTAGCCTAGTACAGTCTGTCAGTTACGTCAACCTACTTTAGTTTCAGGTGTATGAACCAGTAGCCTACTGCACTTCATCAGAGACATCAATCTCCCTTAGGTACAGGTATATGAACCAGGAGTCTAATGCAGTTTATCAGTAACATCAATCTCCTTTAGGCTTGAGTGTAAGAACCAGTAGTCTATTGCAGTTCAGTAGTAACGCCAATCTCCCTTACGTCTGGGTGTATGACCCAGATGCTTAGTGCAGTCTGTCAATAACATTAATCTTTCATAGGTCCGGGTATATGAACCAGTTGCCTAATGCAGTTTATCAATCAAAAATGGTAATGATCAACAGTTTCATAAATGGTTGATAAAGATTATCTACAAAAATCTGACTTCTACAGGATATTCTGGGTTTCATTATAGATATATGTATATATTCCAGTTATCTAATTATCAACTTCAAATGACCCCATTTTATAATTTACAATAATATCTTCTACTAGATCCAATTAAAGAAAACTTCAAATATCTTTAACAGAACAATCTTAGATATTGTAAAGTGCTAGTGAGATCACAAAACTTACATCATCTTTTAATATTTCCTTCAACGTGGCCTCATCTTCTTCTTTTTCCTGTTTGGTTCTATTTGGTGTGGGTGTGAACTTGGGTTTGGCCATGAAGTTTGGCTCTTTGTCACCACTGCCATATGAGCGAGACCCCCAAGATCCTGAAAAAAAGTCAAAACTGTAATTATCCAATAACTTCTCAGTAACAGATGATACTAGGAAAAAAAATCCAAAAATAAATTTGATAAAACTAATAAAAAAAACAACACATGGAGTAAACTTGTTATACTTTTAAACTGAAAAACCATAATGAAATAAAGCTTGTGATGGATAAAAGTACATTTAAAATATTCAAAAAATGGGTATGTTTTCTTATAGCAAAGCCACATCAGGCTATATGTTGAGTCCACCAACGGAAATCGAACCCCTGATTTTAGCATTGTAAATCCAGACTTACCACTGTCCCACCAGGGGACTATTCAAAAGATAGGTGAAAACTAAAGGTATTAAAATATAAGTTGAAAGTTAAATCAACTCTTAAGTAAAATGCAAATCAAGTGAATTATATGTTCAGTTGGAAGTAAGCTAGAAACAAAGAAGGTTTAGCTTTCTTTAGAACTAGAAATTACTTCTCCTTATATTCAACTATATCCACACTCACAATTCACCTGCTCTTTTTAGCTGGCAAAATACATGCTTGATTCTAGGAATCTGAATGTATCTTTATCCACTATGGTGTGTTGTAAAATACTTTACACAAAAGTGATGTTGGCAACAAGTACAACTATCTCATACAATAATAGATAATCCATTTAATTGTCTCATGTTAAAGAGAGAGAGTAACAGTTATATTGTATAGCAACATGTTTATACTGATGTTTGTTGAACGAAAATTAAATCTTAAAACATTACTTAAAGCCAAAAGTTAGTGTTTTGTAATTAAGGTATACTTTATTATGTTGTTATTGTTACTTTCATTAGCAATATTGGTCAGGATGTTTATAATATCTAATGTTAGTTTCTTTAATTTTAATTATTTTTATTACATACTACAAAAGTAGCAAAATCAGGCTTGACTATACAAATAGTTTCTCCAATTTCCTCTTAATTAACATTTTTTCTAATCATGCACATGCAAAAATATCATTTCAGATCTATTTTTTGTCAGCCTTTATTCACTACTCAGGATCCCTTTTGTTCTGTACCAGAACTTATAAGGTGGCTGGATAAATAGCAACTAAAAGCATATCTAAAATGTTACTTGTATGCTTCAAAAACTGATTCAAGTCACAATTTTTATACACCTTTGTTTCAAATTCATAAAAGACTAATGAAAAGGAATATGGGAAAAACATTTACATTTAAATATGACTATATGTAAAGCATATTTGTAAAATTACAAAACACAGCTTTAAATCCAAGCCTAAGTTACCTTTCTTCATCATTTGATCACTTGGACCCTCTCCAAAGACAAGTCCCTCAGTTTGTATGAGTTCACCCCTCCCTCGTCCCCGAGCTCCTCCTCGTCCTCTGTCACCCCCACGTTCTCTTTGCCCACCTCTTGAAGATGGCTTTGAAGAAGACTGAGTTTTTTGACTATTAATAAGAATATTGTATTAGAAATTTTTTATATATTATACTGGAAGAAAACATTATTTCTGTCTTATTATATATACATATATATATATAAAGAAATAGGTAAAAGAAGGAAAACAGATAATAAAAATTAATTTTTTACTGTACTTTTTTAGTAGGCCTTACAGTGTTTTCTTGAGTCTTCTCTACTTTAACTATTTCACTGGCATGAACACATCATATAACCTTTGTTTTAGCCTTAAGTTTAGAAGTTACTTGCAAATTTTAAAAGAAATCAGTGAAAGTCCTCTACTTAATACTAGTGACTAAAAATTGTTATTCTAAGAATGTTTGGATGGAAAAACATCAGAAACTAGAGAGTATTCGGGATGGTAGTAAAATCTGCATTATCCATTCCTAGATTCCACCATTCATACACTGCACTCATAGGGTGGATGCATATACATGTTGAGTGATGGAATGCAGGAATGGATAATGCTGATTTTCCTCCCATCCCATTTTTGATTTCTCGCTTCTTACAAGACGAAGTCTTGGTTTCTGGTGGGGCTATAACTTCTAGATGGAAGGTACCATTTCACCAACTTATTCAGTTCCATTCTATATGAAGTAATATTATAATCTATAGACATTACTTCTTGAAGCAAGATAAGTCATGACCAAGTTATTGCATGGTGCAGTAAGGAGTATATAGTAGATTATCTACTTCCATATACTGCACATAATGACTTACTGATTAGTATTTTGGACTGTAACTAACCTATTGTGGATCACTTGCTGTTCTAGGTATGAAAAGGTACATTAGAGGCAGTTTTGTACTTGATTGGTGAAGGGGTTTTTGCCTCTATCCCTTTGGCTGGGTTTTGCTGACTCCTAGCATATGCACTACCATACCCAAGGTGCAGGCCACCATTTTTAACTGCACTCACCCCTACTTAGTGATCGCTACCGCACTTCCTGATTGAAATAACTTTTTCCAATTGTCTTAAGTATGACAGCATTTTTAATGCCAAAGAAAACCTATGGCTATGCAAGGCAATAAAGGTTATTAAGAAATTCTGAATTTAATTTCCAATATTTTTGTAGTATAATTTGTGGACATGATGGACAGTTCACTCATACAACCAGTGATCCATGAACTGAACAAGTACCAATAGAAATTACATGAGAAGGAAAAGCAAAACAGGAAATTACACCTGGCTCCTTCTTGGATGTTGACATTTGGAACAACAGTGAAACTATTAAATGGACTGAAAGTTAAAAATGCCTCAAGGCTGGAAGTAAGTCAGCTTGCATGTAATTTCAAATAATTACATGTAGTTTATACAGGAGGGTGAATTAATATTCAGAAACATTGTATCACTTCCTGAAAACATTTCTGAAATGAAAAACATCTTAGTTGGCAGGAACCATCAGGAGGTGGGAATAAGGATGTGTTATAACACAAAGGAAAAATATATAAAAGCTAGAGTAATCAAATACCAAAATTCTATATAGTTATATTATTCATGTAAAAAAGCCAAATAAAAAAGTCGAATTTCAAATATAGTGATAAAAATAGTTGTCTCAAAAATTACAAAATTTGTTTATCTTATGTAATGAGTGGAATTTTATGGCATTTGCATAATTTAATTACCACAGTAAATGTCTCAGAAATGTTACAGAAACTGAATTTACATTTTACTTTAAAGCTTTTTTGTATCTCAAAAACAAAATATTCCACTAAAACTAATAAATAGCTCACTCTGCATCCTTAGAACGATCACGTCGAGTTGGAATGTTTGGAGTAAAAACTCTTTTCGGTATTCCCCCTAATGTTAAGTCTCTTGGTCCCCGAATAGATGGTAGTCTGCAAACACATTTGAAATAATATATATACATCATTAAAATATTGCAGGAGATTAACAAAGGAGGGGGACAGTCTGTTGATGATCACTAGTGATGACAACAAGCAGTATAAGACAATAAACATATTTACTGTATAAGAATCAAGCATTTCGAAATACATTTATTTCACCATCAGTAAAGCCTGGAGAGAAGATGTATGAAAAATTTAGTACAGATGAGATACGAGCTGAATAACAATGAAACTATTAGCATATTAAAACAATGAAAATACAAATGTATAAAAAAGGAAGTAAACTCTTGAGATATAAACATTAATTTTATTACAAAATCAACAATAGTGAAGAAAATGAGTTAATACTAAAACTATTAAACACATATTAATCATAATTCAAAATACAAGTACATATTGATGGTTATTGAAATATAAACCAGAAAGTTTTTCTTTGAGGGGGGGATGTCTGTAAACTATTATGACTAGCATGTTATTTATTTTTGATAACATATTTTTAACAGAAGTTTTAGGTAATGAAGACAAAGTCTGATTGTACAGATAAAATACAGGTCATAGTATATCCACTAAAACTTGAAAACTATACACTTAGATACAATCAATAAAATATATAGATCATTAGAAAGATGAATTAAATAATTATTCTTTAAAATTATATGAATTATTTTGGATTCATTCAGAATTTAAAGCCATGATATAATGTTCAGCCTTTTTAACAGCAAAGAGCTAGCTTTTGGTTAGATGGTAAGACTGATACTTTTCTCAGTGACTATCAACTCTCCAGTTTGATCAATGCTAAGCTCATAACTGTTAAAGCTATATTTCTCATTTCATTAAACACATCTACTTAGAAGTTAGGTTGAAACTTCTTATACTGTTCCACTTTAAAACTAACAAGTTCCATTAAGCCCATCTATTTTAAAATTAACATTAACCTACACTGCAATTACATTAAAATTTCTTAAACTGCTTCAATATAAAGCTAATGGAATTGGATGGTAACAGATTTCTGATGCAAACTTTTCAGAATAATACAAGAACACAAGCACACCATTCACTGACATCACTGGACCTGTGTCTGTACTTAGTGCAAAGAAAGCTTGACTGTTCACAAGTTAAACCTCTCAGTGTAACACAGAGTACAAGCACATCAGTCAGAGTACTAGACCTGTGTCTATATTTATAGCCACAAGTTACATACTGGTCAAGAATATTAAATGAAATATATCTCAAGCAAGTATGAAAGATTCAGTATTTTTGACTCATCCAATAAACATATTCCTTCAGAAGGTAATGTAATTATAATACAGTAAACTCAAGTCTTTGAATAACAGTTAACTTTCAGGTGGCAATAATAAACTAAAAAGCTAAGTGTGTGGCTTTCACCATTCTACACCTACATGTGTGTTTGTGATATGTTTTCTACTGTGCACAACAGGGAACAGTAGAAACTGGTAACTTTAGGTGCACATGCTCACCTTAAATTGAATGCACTACACGACAGTTGAAAACTCTGTATAAGTGTGGGCCTTCAATTTTTAAGCAGGGTATCTTGTATAAATAATTAAATTTTACTAAATTTAAAGAAATATTGTAACTAGAACTTTTTTGAGAAAATTTTTTAGAAATATCTGCTGGATGACTAAAAACTACTTTATATGTTTATTGAATAGAAAAAGGAAATTGTTCACAAATCACATTACTTCATAAATTTTATTAGGTGCCTATAAAGTTAAGAGGACAGCCCATATTTACTACAGACAATTAAGTATTAAAAATCACAACTTTCAAATATTTCTACACAGAGATTTATATGCATTATTTGCATGAGTAACTTATAAATTAAGGAGTTGTCAGGTAATATTACCACGGATGTTACTCTACCTTTAGCTCAAATGTTGATTCATGCGAGTTGTCTTCCCATAAAATGTCATTAATATTTCAATTATTTACTTGTAAGCAATACTGTAAAAAATACTGTAATACTTTCTGGCTTAGCCTAGTTCATTCTATCACTTTGTTTCCTTTTTTTTTTTTTTTTTTATAGAGAGAATGGGAGTAAAGATTCTCCTAAAATCAGATGAAAGACTCCCAAAATTCAGTTCCAAGAGATTTAAGGAGCTCCAAAGTTCAGAATCAATATTAAGTAACGTTTGTAATGTACCTAAATCTATATCCTTAAAAACAGCACCTGGAACTGAAAATACACACCAAAAGTTCATGTATCTATAAGTTACATACCTTGCACCACGACCTAAGGGAACACCTGCACGTCCTAGGAGTCCTTTTGGTAAGCTAGTCAGATCTGAAGGAGTGCTACTACTTGCTCCACTGTTAGCAGATTCATTTGAAGTTTTCTGGTTTGGATTCATTCTCAGATTTAAATTTTCTGTGAAAGAATACACACAAAAAAACATACATAGTGAACATATAATAACACCAGTTCACTAATATGAAGAATGTAAATACCTGCATTTCCATTCCTTTTCAATGATTATTATTTGTTTTATTCCTAGTGTATATGAATGGGAAACTGAAACCACGTTAGCTCAAGTATCTGGTTAATAATAGAACATATGACTACAGCTGATCACATCATAAATTGTCTTATGCCAGAAAATCGTTATTCAGACATGGGAGAGCCAAATAAGTTGTTCTTTGAAACAAACAATAAACTAATACGATAATCCCATATTGCTTGGAGTAAGAAAGTGCAAAAATATATTCAGGCACTTTAATTATTGGCATTTTTGCTGGATATAAAAAAGATTGACACAACCTGACATATTAAGATAGTTTATTATTTAAATTTTTTGTAACTAAATTTTAGCTTTATTTTAAATTTATTACTAACAAAAATGTTTTCATGCTAAATCCTACATAAGCCTAATTCTTTATGTAACAAGAATATATAGCAGATCTAATACCAGTAAGACAGTACATATAAGTATAATATTTGAAGCACAACAGTTACAAAACAGCTTATCAAATATACCTTGAAGATATTCAAATTTACAGGAAGAAATAAAATTTATAAAAATTATAATCATGTATATCTCATTTCAATTTTACAAGAACATCAGAGAGTTGCTTCCCAGTGATTGGTTAACTAGATTATTAACATAAATAAACAACAATGAACTGTTGTTGATGGCTACTTTATTATAATACCTGAATAAACATACATTTTGAAACATGCCTATTATTCTGGAAACAAATTATCTGTAGTAATTCATCTTTGGCTGATGAATGCTTGATGTTAAATTTTCATTTTAATATTTGTATTAAACATTTCAGTCTCAATATTAGAGCTGAGAGATTTAACTGATTAACTACAAGCAGAAATTACATCATTTAGTGTCATATTAATTAATCAAAATAAGTTTCCAATTATTCCAACAACAGATTACTCAAAATTACTAAGAAATAGATTGTCACAGAAAATGATCAACTAATCAATATTAGGATTTCTGATTACTGCTATTTTTTATTATTCTAACTATCCAAGTAATCAAAATATTGCTATTATGTTTCTTTGCTGTTAAGCACAAAAGTATATAATGGGCTATTTAAATGTGGCAGCATCTGCAACAAATTTGTTTTCTTCTTTTGCCTTCTTGAACTGCTGAATAGTGGAAAAGCAAGTCTAGTAACACCTGTTACTAACTATGTTCTTTCTTTTTGAAGTGTTGGCTACAGAAAGGGTAACGTTCTGGCACTCAATACCAACGTTCTCTTCATTTTTTCCCCTTTCTTGAATTGAGTTACTAACTAGAGAGAGGGTAACTGTTTGGCAGCACTCACCACCAACTCACCATTTTTACAATTTTTTTTTTTTGCTTATATGAACCATAATTACAAGTATGCTGCACTGATAAATCAACCAATTAGAAAATACCACTAATTGCCCAACTCTACTCAATACTCACCACCAGACCACTCAAAATCATTTTAATGAAATATTTGGTGTAATGTATTCTGAAGGAAAAATATTTTGGCCTGTTGTTTGATGTTTCATATGTAAAATATTCCTCAAATGTTGGCAGACTATTAAAAGTTACGATTTGGTAATGTTAATCCTAGCTTATCTTATATATATTGCAAACTGTGGTGTCTCTCTGAGCATCCATCTGTCTCCCTTTTACAGCAGCTGCTTCCCATGCTGCACTTGAAAAGCTGTACATGCAGGCAAAGCTCAACATTCACTTTTGAAATGATGGGAGAACAGGCATGAATAATGTTGCTGCCAAATTTTATTTTGCAAGCAGGATGCTAAATTGTTAGGAATTAATCACACTATTATCATTCACATTTCAAATGTGATGTAACTTAAAGAATATAAATGTAGATTTACTATATGTTATTCTTGAGTGTCTCTCAGCATGACTGAAATGCTCAACAATTAATTTTTGCAGTGAGCAGTATAAGTAGCTCAGAGCTTTGGCAACACAATTAACCTTTTTAAAGTCTATGAAATAATTGAAATTGATAAATTAACTTAAACTTTTCCCTTCACTGAGGACAGGTACTTTTGTTTGTTTCCAAATAAAATAAAAATATTTCCCATAATATCTGTGATCTACAAATAAAGTGTCACTCAGTGCATCCTTGATTCATATTGTGAAATATTAGATGGAAGAAAGAGATGGACTTGAATGAGAATTATCCTTTAAAACACAGAAGTAAAGAACAGTTTAAAACATCATAATGAGCACAATAATAAGGCTTAAAGAATGAAAACCTAAGTAAATGACATTGAACATATGCAGAATGAGGAGGCAGAAATGAAAGAATATGAACTTGCCTGAAACAAAATTATTATTGGAAAATTTGTTCTCCTTAATTCACAAGTAACTTATTTTGAAATCCAAATTGTATGGCGTTAGAAATTAATGGGATGACAAATCACAAATTAAAAGGCAGTTACTTAGGTGTGAGTTAAAGCAGGTTGATGCATGGATAACTGAAATAGCAAATGTAACATTGGAAAATTCACATATTATAAATTATGGGACATTATGAGGCATCTTAGCCCATCGAGGATGTTCTGACTTTCAATTTCCCCAACTGACACAAACTAATCACTAAATCTAATTCTTATTCCACAAGTGTTCATCAATCCTTTCCTAAACTTCTAGAAAGTTGCAGTTTTTACCAATCTTAAATTGCAATTTCTTCTATACATTCACTATCTTATTGGAAAAGTAAAAGAACTACAAATGGAAATATATGACCATTTCAAACCTTACATTTATGACCTATTGTCTTACAGCCCTTAAAATTCAACAACAAAAAAATATGATGGATCAAACTCATCAATTCCCTTAATAATCTTAAATACTTACATTAGATCACATTTAACCCTGTTCTTTTCTCAATGTCTTCCCTAAGATAAGTGGACCAAAAAAGGCACTGAATGCTCCAAATCGAAGTCTAACCAGTGATTTAGAAAATAAAACTATGGCTTTTTTTAGACTTGTTATCAATATTCCTATACTGTACAAGCCAAAATTTTGTTAGCTTTACCAGTATCAATAGAACACTATCTCAGAGGTATAGGATTAGCATCAATCAATATCCCAAGATCTTTTTTCTCATCAACATAATTAAAAGTATTCCCATATGAATTATAAGTGCAATTATATTATGATAACCCATATACATAAACTCATACTTACCATAATCTCATGCCATCTGCCACGTTTGTCTAACTAATCAACCAATCTAAGTCTCTCTGCAGAAAGCACAGCACTCTCATTAAAGCAAGCCATATATAAGATATTCATATCAGCAGCAAACTTAACCAATTTCCTAACTGTGCACCTAGCAATTTTATTTATGTGAAAGAGGAACAGTCCTAGCATATTTCTGAAGCATACCACTTATAACATTAAAATAGAAGGAAATTTGTGTCAGTGACAAACTGGGTTATAAAATAGGAAGGGTGGGTTGGACAAATCATCAAAGTTTGGTAATGTTAATGTTTGGCTTGATAAATGTTTGAGTGATAAGGTCTAGTTTTAAGAGTTTTGTTTTTACTTAAAGTTTATTTTAATGGATGAGATGACCTAGATGGATCAACAGGTTCCTTGTTGTCCTTATGTTAATTCCCTTAACAACCTTAAATATTTTAATCAGATACCCTCTAATGTTATAATTTTCCTATATTTGCTGATGATATTTAGGTCTTGGATGTTGCTAGCCAATATAAGTATAATTTGGATGGGAATAACCTTAACAGTGTCATAAAAGAAAGAGATATCGGTGTAATGGTTGATAAATCTCTTAAACTATCCAAGCAGTGTGCTGTTGCTAGTGGTAAGGCAAATAGGATCTTAGGTTGTATCTACAGCAATATTGAATACAAGTTTAAAGAGGTTATAATTTCACTGTATAGGTCACTGGTTAGGGCACATTTGGAATATTGTGTTCAGTCTTGGGCTCCTTACCTTAGGAAGGACACCGAATTGTTGGAAAGGGTTCTGAGGAGGGTTGCTAGAATGGTGCTAGGATGGAAGGTTTGGTATATGAGGAGAGATTAAGCTCTTTCAAACTGTTTTCTCTTGAACAAAGAAGAGTTAATCTGATTGGGGTGTTTAAGATTGTAAAAGGAATTGATAGTGTTGTTGTATCATCTTTTTCATACTTACTGGCAAGAAGACTAGGGGACACAAATATAAATTTTGGAAAGGTTGGAGTCATCTTTAGCTAAGACAGTTTTATTTTTCTAACAGGGTGGTTGGTCTCAGGAATGGGTTGCCTTTGGATGTTGTGGAGGAAGTAAATTTCAGTGAGTTTAAGAGAAAGCTTAATAATTATATGAATGATAAGGACTGACTTTAAGATTTAATTTTTTTTTAATAGTTTAGTTTAGAGGATGAGACAGCTGAGATGGACCAATAGGTCCCTTGTTGTTCCTAAACATTATGTTATATGTTATACAAAACAGATCTTAGTAAGGTTGCTCAGGAGGCAAGGGATGCTACAACCTTTCACTAGTTTCAGTTTTCTTATTCTTCTCTGTGCACATAGTCTAATATGTTTAAGGTGACCATAAAGTCCATTGAAAAGCTGTATTACTATTATTATTATTATTGTCCTTTGCTGTGATAATTGATTATTTAAAAAAAAATTAAGTACAAGTGATTTGAGATAATAAATAAGACAATTGCCCTAGCCATATACATTACACAAGTTTTACAACTCTTTCATACAGAAATTTACCTGACTTATGGTACAAAATTACTTAGTTTTGGCTAAAATTTCTAAACTCCCTGACCTGTGAGAACAGTATCTATAATGTAATATACCTTAGCACCTGGTAAACAAATTCTAGACCTAAACTTCTGTGTTTTCCACTACAAATACTTTTATCAATATACGTAATGAGAGTCTCCAACTAATGAAGTATCTAAATCTCTTGATCATCTCCTGGCAAAAATAACTATTGAATAATATTAGCAGCCTAGCTTTCCCATGGTATCCTCATTCCCAGTATTAGACTATTAGTATTATTGTCTAATACAATTTACAAGTAACGGGAAATCTTCCCCAAAGCTATCTCTAAATCTAATATAACTTGTCCTCAACTTCAATTTTTCAGTTTCAAGGCTCAAGTATTTACTATACTAGTAGTAGTACCACTAATACTATTAGTTACTATTAATAATAATAATTAAGTAATTTAGGCACTACAATGTATTATTATTTAACTAGAAACTTCTAAGCATATGAAATGTTATGCCTACCTTCAGGCTCTAACAGTTAGATTAATCTCACGTAAATTCTGAGGTTTAACTTCCATCAATGGATTATTTACCTACCCCAGACTCGTCTCTGACGAATTTGCTCTCACTTTAAGTATTTGTTTTCTTCTTCCATTTTCAATGCTCGTTGCTGTTGGAACGACCCGCCCTCTCGCGGTGTACATTGGCTATGACGCCAAAATCTGAATAATTTCATAACTATTACTGGGTGTTTCAGCATCAACTTTAGTGATTCGTTACACTATAACACAAAAGCTTACATTTTACTTTTTCTTGCATAACTGTCCACATACATTGTAGAAGTTATAATAAATATTATGAAATAATTTGTAGTTTGGAGCCATAACCATTCATCTTAACCCAGTGTTTCTCAAACAGTGGGTCGCGAACAGGTTTCCAGGGGCTCACGAACTGTCAGCGCCGAGTCAACATTTTTTAAGTCCTCGAGGTGTCTGAGAGGTGCACACATCACATTTTTTATGAACTATGACGTACTGCACCAAAAAACACTGGGACTTGTTTTCATCCTTGCAGAGACAATAGGGGTCGCGACGACCAAATGCCCGGACGAGGGAGTCGTCTGGCAAATTCGGCCGAGAAACATTGTCCTAACCTGTCTTTCCAATAATAACACTAACAGGTATTAAAATAGAAGTATAGACTGATAGCACTGTTATTAGACTCTAATTTCTAAGGCAAGTAAATGTCTCAGTGATAAGAGTAAAGTATCAAAGACTTGATTATATTATGCTAGCTCTAAATATACTCATGTATTTTTATCACTTACCTGGTCTAAAGCCGGAAACTTGTCACAAATATACTGAATGATGCATTTCGATTCTCCAGGTTTTGTATAAAAGACGCACTAATAAAAAGTAAATAATTAAAATCTAATTTTTGTTTTAAATAAAACGAATGAGTTGTTTCTTTTGAATGAATGTAACTGTAAAAATGTATTTGTAAAAGATGTGAAACCATAAGTATATGTTTAATTTACCATAATACTTACAAAGTATACATAAAATCTTACCTTAAATCAAATTTTAGATGTTTAATTTTCATTGGTATGCCAATTATACAAGGCCGAGAGGTGTCACCAGCAGAGTTTCTTTGCTAAGAGAATAGAAGATCGTCGTCTCGCATATCGACACTAAGTTTTAAGCTTTAAATTAGGTAAATATATTAATAATATACAAACTGCAAAGTTAGAGTCTGAATTTTGGGATAGTCTATGCGCGGGTAATGTTTAAAGCCATAATCACATGATTTTATATTAAAATTAAACCTAAAAGTAGCAGTGATACTGAAGCGACAGATATTTTTGGTGTAGTCTTGTTACATTTGATTTTTATTGCCAATACTTTTCTATTGAGGAATAGCCATGACCCGCAAAACATTTGCGCTAGTTCTCATGCCTTTCGCTTGAATTTTCCCTATTCTATCATTTTCACGCACGGCATTTAAGCTACGCTTTCTTGCAAATTGCAGGCATTATGTGTTAGATCGGTAAATCCTGGTTTGAAAAAAAAGTTTACACTGTCACTGTCAGACAAACAAACTCTCCTAGACGTAACTTTATTTAATAAAACTACACTTAAAGTAAACAATATAGTAATTGTATTTATAATAGTGTACAGAGTATGAAACAGTTATGAGCATTAAGTGTATGACACGGTTTTACCAGTTGAAGCAAGGAAACTCACAAAAATGAAAAATAAAACCCGTACTAACGAAAAAGTAGCTAAAACTAAAAGGTGTTTATAGTGGTCTATGAGAAAAACACGAGGCTAAATTACTGCAAAGTAAGGTAAATGTAAAATTGTAATGAAGGCAAACTTAGCTGAATATGCAGAAATGTCTGAATCAGTATGCATTTTCACAAAGTGATAAGCATATGGTGTTGAATGAACTGTGCATGCATATTTTAGATCTAAATAAGTTGAGAAAGCCTATAGCAATTATATTTAGAGTGATGTTAATTTTTCTGTAGAAAATTACACATGGGTTAAGTGTTGTTTGTGTGAAATACTTTGTAAATAAAAAAATTAAAGTTGCAATCCAAGCTAGTCATCACATGATGACAACAACATTGTGTAGCACACTCATTGCATGAAAAAGTTTGACTAAGAAAAAACATATGGTGATTCTGAATTGAAAAGCCAATATGCAATCTGGACTCCTTGAACAGATAAGATTTGTGGCGATTTATCGAGAAGTTAGCAAAAAAAGTTACAGACAGACAGTCACAAGCGTATTATTTATATAGATTAGTTTTACTACATATTGCAATAAATATGAATAAACATTACGTAAATTGAAATTGATGGTAAAAAACAAAACTCATTAATTAGTTAAAACTTGTAGGTTTAGCCTTTTTTTTTGCCTATCCTTTTTTAAATTAATAATTACCCATAAAATGTACATGCAACTATCATGTTTACACAAGAGTTTGCTTTTGCTGTTATCTTTTTACTTACCAGATTTTAAATCTGCCGTACTTATCAACATGCCTTTGAATTTGGAATACATAATGCTATAACTAGTACTGCTTGTACTAAAGTTGTAGACTGATGATGGTTTGAATACTTTAAAACATTATTTCATGAAATTGTATCTACTGACATAATTTATTTAAAATTAGTAAAAACATGTAGGTAATATATATTCTTTATTGATACAACAGTCATTATCAGTAGGGCATCATTTCGAAGTAAAGCATTCTGTACCAGTTGCTTTGATGTTACTCAACTAGTAGGCTTTGGATCAAGAAAATGAGATTAGCAATCGTGGAGACTGATTTATGGGGTATTTTTCCTTTTGTGTTTATACAGTGTTTTTGGTAAAGAATATAGATCTATAGGTGTGGAATTGACTTGAGCTTAGCTGATTTCCTGACTTGTAATTAATTAGAGTTTTAAAAAAATTGCTTTACAGTTACATTTTGAATATTTATGTGGTAAGAAAGTAAAGTATTCTTACTTTGTATTTATGATGCACAGTAACAGTCATAAGCTGTAGTCCAACAAGAAAATCAAGACTAATTTTATTGTTAAAAACTGCAAGAATGGGAATCACTGCTGGTAAAATTATGCTAGTACCTCTTACTGTACTGTTTTGTATTATACCAGTATACTATATTGTAATTGCAATGAACAACTATTTCATAATTAGTATCACAAATTTTCCAACAAGGATATGGTTCCCTTTAAATGTAGATTGAGTTGGCTTGGTCTACTGATATATTTATGTTCACCTGTTTTAGATCACTAGTGCCTGTATCTTATAATTTAATAAGTAGAGGTGTTTAAACATTTGTTTAACAACAAGTTAAAGCTTGGAATGGTCTATTCTCTCATTGGGGTGTGTGTCTATGAGCCAGACTAGTTTCGGAGAATTCCATTCCTCATCAGTGACCCTGGACACTACCACCAATGAAATATCAGACCAAACCAATCCTTCATACTAGTTAGGTATCGAAAATCAAACTGGTGTATTTACGTGTTTTACACTCACCTATAGAATGATAGGTTTCTTTTTGGTGAGTGTAAAACACGTAAATACACCAGTTTGATGCTTGTATCTTAGTTGAATTAATTACATCGAATGACCAGTCAAATTCCAACATCATACAAACTTTCAAAGGGTTTGTAACTTTCAACATGGCTAAAACAGAAAATAATTACAGTAAAGCAACAAAAAATTAGCACAAATTACTGCCTTACACAATGAAAGGAAATGTCAGTGGTATATTGTTGAAACTTAGTGTTTTAGAGGATGTGATTCAATGAATTTTAGAGCATTTTGTTGTAATTGGACATTTATAGTTTCAAGAAGGGACATTCAAGTAAAACATCTAGATAGGAGTATACTATCATTAGAAAAGTGTCAAAATCAGATTAATTTATAACATACATAGAAAAATGTATAAAAATAAAGAATATGCATGGAGTTAGAATCAGCAAAAATGAGAGAATTGTTCAAATACAGTTCTAAGAAAATGTCTGTATGGAATATTTAATATATAAATATGATCAGTTTTTGAAGCTTTGCAAAGGATCACAAAAATTGGAAGAACAAATGGGACAATGCTATGGACTAACAAAAGATTGAGTTTTCTGGAGCTGGGTAGTTCTTGTATGGGCATAAGAACATGAGTGATAGGAAAAGTAACTAAAATAGTGAAACAAAATGGCCAGACTGTAATGGTGTAGGGGATATTGTTTTATTGTAGACATGAGAGATATTATCAAAAGAGTTTGTATTATGAAGTAACAGTAACACAACATCCTTATTCATCATTCAATATCTGGTGGACATTGATATGGCTCTGCATTTGAATTTAAGCAGGGTAATTAACCAAGATGTATTGCCTGACTGAATAAGTGATACTTAGAAGATGACAAAGGAGCTAGTTATGTAAGAGCTATCAAATGGTAAGCCCAAAGTCACAGTGCTAATCCAATTGAAAATTTGTGGCTTCAGTTGAAAAATGTTGCAAAAGAGAAGCAGCTAATCAATGATAACTTTGAGAGATTCTACAGTAAAAGATAATAGAAAATACCTATTAATAATCTCAAACTTGTAGCAACCATGCCTGATCTATGTAAGGCTATAGGAAGACTTAATTAATATTGATAATTAAATTTACATTTCAAAATAATTTTATATATAACATTGTAATATTTTTTTACAAACATTAATTAAACTTTATTATACATGTAGAAAATACTTAAAGGTTAGCCAGTTAATATTGTTCAATAAAATGCTATCTTTAATGACTTAACCAGTTTTGTATTATTTTGTAACAGTATTGGCATTTCACATTTACCCATTTTTTAGTATTTATTTATTATTTTTTCTCTTCTCGCCATGAAGTACAGTTGCAACAGTATTGGTTGCAACTTGTAGACTCTAGGATTATAACATAGAAAATCCTTAGTCGTTCAGTGACTAAAATATTTGTTCAAGAATTTTTATCTGTATGCTGTTTTTTCATGATATATTTTTGTGTCATTGTTGATATAATGAATAGTTATAGCAAGATTATTATTTTTAACTGATGTTGCTAAATCAGTCATTTTGATACAGAGCAATAGACAGCTATTTTAAAAGTTTGAATAATATTTAACAACTTTCAAGCTTGTATAATATTTACTTACTTTCTTTGATGCTAGAAATCTTGGTTTTTTTCAGCTTATTGAATGTATAATGAACTTCTGAGCCAAAAATATATATTATAGTGCATGGATAATTAAAAGCACCTGGTGACCAATCAAGAAACCTTGATATTTTACTTGTTGTTTTTGGTCTTCCCACATTTACTGCAGCTGAGCCCTTTCTTTAAAAGAAAATCTTTAATGAATATTACATACATGTGATAATTACTGTATTTCAGGATTTACATTTAATTTTGGTTTATATACAGTAGTACAGAATGTTTGAAAAAACAACTTATTATCCAAGGGACAAAATGCTAGAAAAATAACCTGTCCCCTCTCAGTCCTACAAAACTCACAAAAAAGTATGACTTGCAGGATTTTTTATTCAAAAGTGAGCAATAACAACAAAAAAACAAGATCTATGTCTGAAACATTTAGAAAGTAAGATGAAATGCATTGATGGCATATTTGTTTCCATAATTTCTATAAATTCAATTCTACAAATGTTTATTTATCATAATATTTATATTAAATGCATTATCTTCCAGACACAACACAGATACTCATGTAGATGCAGTGTTTTTTAAAAGTTAGTAAAATAATGTGTTCTTAAGAAGTACCTGATTCATAAGATGTGAAACATTGAAATATGTACTATTTTTTTACTATATTCTCTGTTTTTTGTGAGCTGTTGATCTTTTTACAGTGAAATGGATAAGCCAGGTGTATGTTTTCACAAAAAATACTGTGAAATCAAAAATGGGCTATTTATTAACAAAAAAAAACATTAGAAAGTAATATATAAAAACCTTAAAAAATTAATTTTCAATTTTATAAATCTTTTATTTTTGGACAAAATGCTTTATATGCATCACCATTATCAACAAAATGCTGCATACTCATCAGTACAATGCATTGGCAGCTCAGTTTAGATGGGAATGGTGTACACATCACTTTAACTGTACATGTAGCTCTTTATACATGTTCAGGTATTTTGTTTTTTAACATTTAGTCATTAGGATTTTACAGCATTGTGTGAACTTATAAAGACATCACAGTTTACATTAATGCTTCCATGAACTAAAATGATGTATAATATATAACATTTAAAAACTGTTTTATTTAATCTTTTCTAAATATACTTCCTATAGTTGTCAGTCAACCTTTATGTGATTCTACTGTAGGCAGAAATGATGTAATAATATTGTTGCATTAATGTTAATACCTTTGTTACTGTGTAGGTCTATGAGAATAAGGGTTTTTAATTAAAGGGATATGTATATAGTTTTGGTTTCAGGTTTAGAGGTATGGAGTTTTAAATTTTAGTATGTATGCTCCCTAGAAATATAAATGAAATGTTTCTTTAACAATAGAATTAATTATATGGAAAAAACAAACAAAAAATACTTGTCCAACAGGTAAAATATAATAGTAAAACTTGTTTTCCCTCAGATAAATCTTGTTGTCCTGGGCTTCAGGTAAAATGAATTCCACATCCCCATGGTACTATGGTCTAGTAAACTCAGACAATAATAGAAAACTAATATTATTCGTTAATATAAATCTTCAAAAGTTTATTGTAAGTCAGTAGATTTCACAACTGTCAGTATGAAACATAGTAGATCTATGTTTGAAAAGCATGGACTTTTAAAACAATAAATTGTAGAGTTGATATGTACGTATTATAGGTATAATTATATAGGTTTTACTAAGAAAAACTTTTAAGCTGTAACAGATAAATTAGTTAAAATGTTACATTTTTATGTTTTAGGTGAAGTGTCAGAACTTGTTCTTATAGAAGTATTGATGTTATAACCTACACGTAATGATGGCAACTTCTGACACCTTAGAAGAAGAGGAGGAATCACTGGTATTGGTAGAGCTTACTGGTATTATTGATCTTGACTTGTATAGTCTGAAAGACAAGAACTGTAAGATTGTTGGACTAGAAAGTAGCAAGCCAGTTCTTCAGCTTGATAACTACTACTTTGTTGGTGAATATGAAGATATTGTTGGAACAGCAGTGGTCTTTGAAGAGGTTATACCTCAAACCAGTAGGAAAACTGAGAAAAATCTCAGGTACTTATGTAAAACAAATAAAAAACTAGCTATGAAAAGAGCATTTCTTCAACAAAAACAATCAGAAAATGAACCATCCATGAAACCACCTCCAGAAGAATCCCACGCCTCTGTGAAGTTTTCAGAAGAAACTTCTACAGTCATGTTAACTTCTTTAGAAGAGGACACTTGTTTAGAAGACAAAGTTTCTAGTATTAGAATATCAGAAGAGACCTCGACCACCGTTCTAGAAGTGACCCCTACTACCATGGCTTCTTCTGAAATTTGTACCACCATGCTATCTTCTGAAGAGGCTTCTGCTTCCAGCAAGACAGACCAAGTACAAGAAGTTACTGATGCCACAAAAGAAACTGATATCATATAAAACAATATACAATAATAATTTTATAATTAACCAGCTCATTGTAACAAGATATAAAATAAATGTTATTTTTTTGACACCTAGTACAGGTACTTATAAAAGACAGGACACTTTATAGTAAAAAAGGGGAGACAGTTTAGGTAAGTTAGTGTTAGTTATAGCAATTCTACTACATAAAGTGTTGAAATTGTAATAAGAAGTAAAATATCTTAACTTGGAAAAAATACCAGCACATTACGAAGTTATGAAGTTGTTGAGGTAAATTTCGTTTTTGCCAGTCCAGTAAAGAAACAAAAAAAAAATGAGTTTTTTAATATTGTTCACACTGTTTGATTGAGATTGATTATCACAATGAGACTGATAATGATTTTTAAGATATATTTCCTTACTGGCTCTATACCAGTTTTCAGAAAAAAAAAGTATGAAAAACATTTCAACCACAAACTTTTAACAGATGCTTTTCCACTTTAGACATTAAGCGTCATGTGTTGGTTGTTCAGAATGTTCACACTTGTGTTTTATCAAGTTCCAAACTAAATGTATCTAGTAATTTAACCAGAAATTATTAGAAAAAATCCATGAATGAAAAAGTAATACCAATTAGTATTTTGAATGTACTGCTCTCTTAATTATCGAGTAAAATTTGCAAGGAATAAGGAATGTTTCAAATTAAGTCTTGATACATGTGTGAAAGATCACAGATATTGATCTGTAACTAAGGGGGTGAATTACATATGTGAATCAATAAATAGTATTACTAAGTGAGATACACATCTCAACCATCACAGACAGTACAATTAAAGAACTGATACAATGTGAAACATCAAACAGTATTACTAAAATGTGTAAAATATGGCACATGGTATTAGTAAGAAGCAAGATATATGTGTGAAACATCACAATACATTCAAAAGAAGTGAGATGTACTGAAATTATTTAGTCCAAATCTTCAAGTTAAATAATTATTAGTGTTCCAACAATAAAACAATCATGCACTGAAAATAATGTGCAATACTTGAGTTAAGTGAATAATGCTAACTTCAGTGTAATACTCAAAAATTTTTAATCAAAGTACACAGTGACATTAATTTTATTCTCCAGTTTATAGAAATTACTATACAATTTTTACATGTGATGGATGATGTTCACATACAATGAACCCCATTATAGGGAAGAAACATAAACTATATCTAGTCATCAAAACGAATATGCTTGTTTTTCATTTGTACAGCCTTCTCAGCTCTTGCGATGACCTAAGAATGTACAGAAAATTTTTGCTATAAGAATGCATTTAGGGTAAAACAACATGTTCTGTATTATGCCATGAATTCAAAGTCACCAAGGTCACATTTATTAATAAATATGAAAGCTAAATTACTGCTTTTACACTTCTATATAAAAGCATGAGTATACTTTGAAGTTGCTTATTGCTCAAAAGAAGTAAGATTTTCTGAAGAATTTTATAGATATCTACAAATATTTATATGTTTTTTATTTACATAATGTTTTGATAATTTTCAACAAAAGTACATCATAACACTTTTACTGCAACACTTCTTATGACAAAACTCAAAGGCTAACTAAGCTAATAAATAACACTTGAAAATGCTTCTTTATATATGAAATTAGACACCAATGTGACAGTGTGTGTAATAAAAACTTTCGATCAGAACAAGCTATGTAATTCAAGTGAAACCAAAATTCAACAAAGCAATCAGTGCTAACTAAATACACCCTTCTTATGTTTCTATTGGTAAAGATTAGAAGACATTCTTTCATCAGTTGGGTACCTTTGTTGTTAACATTATTTTTGGTCATAATCCCAATAATATCTCACAATTTTGACCAGCTTACGAAATATAGGTTAGTATAATAGATACTTGAGGAAAATCAAGACAATTGTACATTTCACAAATCATCAGGTACAGCCTTCACTGGCAAAACCATGGTCATAATAAATGATGTACTTGTGAAACATACAATTGTCTTGTTTTCCTCAATTCTGTAAATATAGGTTAGTCCTAAATACATGTATTGAGCTAACAATCTTTATAATAAAAGTATACCAATAAAAAATCAATTAAAAAGTAATGATATTTGATATACTAAATAGTATGGCCAATGCTGTTAATGAAAATAATAATAAATAAATAATTTATTATACCTTACTTGTGCTACTAAACTAATGAAAACACTACTTACATTGGATAAAAGTTACATTTCACTTTATTCTTAGCAAAAGCCTAAAACCTCATAAGTTGGGCTTTGTATAATCTAGTACAAAAAATCTGTCAAAAAAATTAAATACTAATTATTACATTTTCAGGGTCTGAAAAATATACTGGAGAAGTTTTAGCTGTACTTTTCATTAGTTCATACAAATATAAATCCATAACTGTTTCCCTCTACATATAGCAGTTAAGTTAGTATGTTTGGTAACAGAAATAACAACTCACTTTACTCATGCCCCTTTTCTTTTCTCTTGGTTTCATTGCAAGCCTAGCTTCTCTGTCTTTGTTGATTTTTTCCCAGTAATTTCGTTCTTCCTCCCCTATAAAGAAGTAAAAAACATTTGAATAAAATAAATCTCTTATTTTTTAAATCATAAACAGGCCTCTGAACAAATAAAGAAATAATTTCTGTTACAGTGACTTTGCATAAACATTAACATCCACTGCATTTTGAAACACTGTTCTATAAAGGTGAATTTAACACATTTTGTCCACTGTTTCTAATATATAAGCTGAAACACTGATTATTAAACAATATAACATGCCCAACAAAAGAAACTTGCAAATATTCAACAATCATGGATACTTGTGTTATTATCCTCGATTATAATTAAAAATTTATTTTTTAGTATTTTGCATGGCTGAAAAAGTACTGTACATGAGGACAGGAGAAGAATATTTATAGAGGATATATATAAACGAGTATTAATTATCAAAATATTTACTTTTCTTTTTGAAGAAGTAATTTTCTTGAATGGAGATGTGTAGTTGCAACTAAATTCAACATTGACTCGTACTCTTACAACATATACATTTAACTGAATTTTTCTTACTATTCAATGAAGATTTAGATAAAGCATTAAAAATTAAAACATTTATTGCTAGACTTAATTTTTGTATTATGTTACTCTTAATAACCAGATATTTTGTACTACATGTGGTTAATTGCATTTTATTTGAAGATTTGTAGATGCTAATGCAGTAATGTGTTGCTACCAATGTGAGCTGTGGTGATGCAAGCAACATTCTTAAAACTATTGGTTCACTGTGAACTGCCAGCCACTTAACAGTGTAGTGTTGCCACAAACAGACTTATAGTTAGAGGGATATAAAAAGTCTTATAAGAGAAATACACAGAAAGATTGTTAACTGATGCAAAGTCAAAGGAGACAACATTTCTAGAAAAGAGACATCAATCAAGTTTTTCCATATAAGAGATGAAAAAAAAACACAGTGTGTTTAGGAGACAAATTGGCTCCAAGTGCACCCCCAAGCCAGTCTGGATCAATGCTTTTGAATGCAACATGAAAATTGAGGTTACGATTTCCCCAACCCCCCCCCCCCAAACTATTATCTTGTAATATTAATAATTAGATAATAAGTATTTGAAGTTTAAAAAGGTTTGAAAGCTTCCAGCCATGCCTTGAAATCAGCAGAAGTTTTCATGAGAAAGATGGCCAAAGAAATTGGATTCACCCATTTAACTACAGAACTGTAATGGCCCCTGATGCAGTTGTAATGGAATTTTTGGGCCTTTGGTATACATAATGAGATATTGGCAGCTAACATCCATTGTACAGTGGAGGATATGTGGCAAGTTTGTCAAAACGTGTGGCTTACAATTAACTTCATCACTCATTGCAACAGCTTGTTACATCGGAATTTATGGTGTCAGGCAACAGTGTGTAATTATGACTATCAGACTGAGCATGACCATGGAGGAAGTAGTTACAAGGAGAGCATGGGAAGTGGAACATCATTACTTCAGTTTTGCTTTGTCACAGTTATGGTTTAGCAGTTTTAAATAACACCAACAATTTCCATTTTTGATCCCAGTAGTTTATAAAATGTAAAATAAGGACAAGAAGTTTCACAGTAAAATCTACACTTCAGTATCTAATACTTTCTTTGAAAACTGAATCTTATATATCTTTCTTTCATAACCAAATGTTGGCTTACATTTCATTCTCATATATATATATATATATATAGACAGACACACACACACATACATAAATAGGACCTCTGAATTTTTATCCTACTAAGAAGCTGCTTTTCTTATTTCAGCTAAGACTATTTTGTACTAGGAACTATTTCACACAATTTTTCCTTATGAAGTTGTTTGCAATGCATCATATTACTGATAATGGAAAAGTACATTGGTTTCTCTGTGTCCAGGATTTTATTTTTTTAGGCATTTTAAAGAAACATTTATTTATGAGTACAATAGGTTTCAAAATTTTTATTAATGATGGCTATATATTTACTTATAAAATCAAGGATTTCTGGTTGATATTTTAAGGTTTATATTATGTACTATGATCTTATTAATACTAAAAAAATTGTCAAATCAACATCTTCATGTCATACCCGACCATTAAACGACAACCATATTGGTACTCAATAATAACTAAATTATATAAAATACATAAGTCAACAAATTACTTACAGACAAAATCTGTCTTTCTTTGGCACTGCTTGAATATATTAGACCACACATTTAAAAGCACTTGCTTTAAACTTGAGTTATTTACTAAATAAAAATGAATTTTTTCATGAACTAAGCATATTTTACAAAATATTTTTTTTTCATAACTGTGACATTTGTCAGAAGTATTTGTATTAAATTAGGTTTTAAAATATCCTGCAAACTACTTATTTACCTATCCTGTTAAACTTTTTAAATCTTACTTTATTAACAGTTCTTACCTTCTAAAACACACAATTCTCCTAGTTTTGCTTCTTTCCCAGCTATAAGCAAACGTTTAGCACTTTCAGGATCCATACATCGAATGTAGACTGTCAGATCATTTTCCATGTCTACATAAGCAACATTTGATAGAGACTGGATTTTTTGCTGAAAAGAAACCAATTAGGACATTAAATATAATGTTTCTTAGAAAAGAAAAGAATGAATATTTTAAATTAAGACCCTTTTTTCTCATTGTTATAGATAAAAATTCAATTCCATTGATATATATTTGACAATTCACTTCAAAGATTTCTTCAAGGACAAAGATCAAGGGAAATGTAACAGTTAAACCAAAAGAAGAAAATATCAATATATAGTATTTAATCAGAATATAATAAACAGATTTGACTTTTCCTTACATAACTATTAAGTAAAAAACTCAGCACAAAAAACATACAAAATGTTTTCTATGGTGATTTTTTTTAGAGTCAAGTTTTACAAGAATTAACGTCTGTATCAAGTTTTAATACAGTGGTATGATTCGAGTTGGTCAAGAATATAATTTTGCTTCCAGTTTAAAACTAGCAGTTTGTGAAAAGACTTATGACTAGTTAATAATTCTAAGAAACTATGAACTTAAGAAAAGAAGAATGTATAATAATATATTATCCACACTATATCTGTTATATCCAGTGCTGACAAAGCCTTTTGCTTAATACCAGGACTCATCAGGCCGACTGAGATATGACAGACACAGTAGTGATTAAGATGCTATTTATATTGTCAAGTTGCATAAACAACAGTTGTTATGATGTGAACTAGATTAAGTTTAATTTACAAAGTGTACTTTGTATCAATTTTATAAAAGCCATTTACAAATAAGAATTAAGATACGGATTAACAACACAATATTATTTATTTCTTTTACTACCAATTATTTATTTTACTTGAATTAAATTTTACTCATCATTCATTACGCTTATTAATGTTGTGGTCCATTAAAAAGTGAACTTTATAATTCCTAGTTACTGGAAAATGAACTTTTAATACTTATGATTAAATACTTAAATGTAAATTGCATTAGTTTTAGTAAAACGTTCCTTACCTTGAACTCTGAAGGTCGTGGTATTTGCTCTTCTCTAGAAACCTTGACAATAACTCCTGGGGTCATCTCCATTTTAAGATCTTTATCAATGGTGACTTTTTCTGTTATTGGTTCAACTTCATCATTATGCCAAGCAAGTTTTCTTCCTGAATTGAAGTCTTTTTCTAACTGAAGTGCCTTCTTTACCTGTGCCATTGTTGCTTTTTGTAGAGAGAGGTATTTATTTCGCCAACGTTTCCATTCAAGTCTAAAAATATATATATATAATGAAATTGTTGACGTGTAAAGAAAGAACTTTTACATATTCTCACACAAATGTATATTTCCTTGATTTATTTTCTGTTTGGTTTGTTTGTTGTTGATTGTTGAGTGCAAAGAGCTATTTGTGCTATGCCCACTGCAGGTATCAAAACCTTTAGCATTATAAGCTCTCAAATATCACACTAAGCCACTGGAAGAAACTTATTTTCTTGTTGTTGTTTTTTAGAGTAATAAGTTATGGTAAGTTGCTTCTATATTGGGGATCTACACAAATATCATAAACTATAAGAAACTGAATTATTAGGTTTTTATAAAATATCAATTATCCATCTTTGATTGTATTATTGGTTAAATCAGTAACAATATATGCAAGAAAAGTAGTAGAAATTTACTTGAAAATTAGCTATTTTACCAACTGACTACAAACAACTCACATATACTTTGTGATTTTCTCAAAACATTAAATATACAGTGAAATCAACCGGACCCATGTTAGTGTTTTACATATTTCTCTGAAAAAAAAATGTACAGTACTTTCTAATCCTACAAATTCATAGGTGTTTAGGAATAGAAATCTGTACAAAAAATAATTACATTATATAAATACACAGGAATACACATATAATTGCTATCAAAAAGTTTAATAGAAATATACTTTGACATCACTCTCAAGCCAATAGTTTCAACTTCTTCCTGATGTGCCCATTGTTTCCGCTGTCTTCGTCTTTTTTTTTTATGTTTCTTAGTTAGCTTTTCTGAGTATCCTTTAACAGCCAAATCCTTACTTTCTTGTGTATTCTACATAAAAACATAACAAAAAACATGTCAGTTTCATTTTGTTACTACAAATCTTATGTATTTTTAATAGAGCTGGGCCATTAGTAGAATTTGCTCATTGACTGAGCACTGGGCTCATTAATCAACTACATTCAACTAATAATTTATTCTGACACGAGAGTTGGACAGTTGAAATAACTGGCAAAACTTACTTTTATTAGTTGATTATTTTCCTGATTCATGACACTAATAGAATAACCTCACCTCAACAACCTTGATTTAATTTAGAATAATGATGAGAAATCGTAATGGGAATATTTCAAAATACTTAGATAGCTGAAATAATCAAAAACAGTAATTTTGATTAGTTCATTATTTTCCAAACATTAATATAATTTTAATGTCTAGAATTTCGTTAAATCTATTTATTGTTTATATAGATAGCTAGGTAAATTATGGTGGTTTTGGGACATTACATTCTTGTGACTGGTATATTTTTTTGTATATAAAAATGAATATTTGAAAGTTACATGAATTGTTTTTGGACACCCAGATTTGTGGAACTCAGTAATGGTTACATAAGACTGACTACATGAGCACAAACTACAAGTCTTTGTTATTTATTTGCTGTTAAATATTTTTAACAAAGGTAACTAAAATGTAAAAATAGTAAACTTCTCAGATTAGTCTACAAAAAACTTTAGTAACATAAAATGCTTAAAGTATCAAATTTCACATTCAAGGGTCATATTATCAGTACTGGAAACAGCTAATGACTCCTGCTGTGATTTATTGCTTTGTGAAGCAGTATTACTTGTAAAGTCATACAAGAAAATAGATGAGCAAAAGGTTATTAGTGGAGTCAAACTGTTAACAAAAGTAAGTTGGAGGTTTCTGATCAAAACTCAAGTTAATTTAGATAAAATAATGGTATTACTCATTTTATTTAATATTTTTCAATGAACATTGAAGATTTCTATGTAGATGCCATTATTGTTAGGGGTAAAGTAAATAAGAGATAAAATTTTTCTTGAAAAAATATTTGGTAATTTGGCAAGTAGATGTGAGAAAAGGTGAGATATCTATATCTGTTTGGATATATAACTGTTATTGTCTCTTATAATCTGCAGTATTTCACTACAGTTAGTATTAAAGTAGAGCAAATACGAGATAAAATATAAAGTTTTACCAAAAAAATATATTTTGGTATTCATTTAAAAGGTTCTAGAGATTATGTAAATAAAATAGAAAAACTGTAAGATGAAAAAAAGTATTTTTATTCTTAGCATGAAAATAACCTTTCATTCAGACTGACTCAGTAAAAGCTTTGGAAATCACAGACAAATCTTTATTAAAAATACTTTATAAAAAAATGATTTTTTTTTGTTTACGTCAAATTTGTAATGTTTATAAAAGCTTGTCAAATTTCATGATTGTTGGTTTGTTTCTTTTGAATTTTGCGCAAAGCTACACGAGGACTATCTGTGCTAGCCGTTCCTAATTTAGCAATGTAAGACTAGAGGGAAGGCAGCTAGTCATCATCACCTATTGCCAACTCTTGGGCTACTCTTTTACTAATGAATGGTGGGATTGACCATCACATTATAATGCCCCCACAGCTGAAAGGGCAAGCATGTTTGGTGTGACGGAGATTCAAATCCACGACCCGCAAGTCGAGCGCCCTAACCACCTGGCTATGCCAGGCTGCAAATTTCATGAAGATACACATAGTAAATTCAAAGTTATATATAGTTTCACTGATACAGACTTAGTCTAAAGGACCAAGACCACTCTTAAAGGGTTAATAAAGTTAATCGCCAAGCTCTAGGTTACAACACTTTATTTTTTAATTTCAAACATCACCTAACACAAATGGCCTTGGTAAATATATTTGAAGTTTTAATATCTAGCTACAGGTTTTATCTATGTTTACAGTACATGAATAAAACAAGAATCCGAAAAGTAGTCCATGTAATGCTCCATATATTCAAAGAAATAAAATGGGAGGAAAATACACTAGTAAAACAGTAAGGCTATACACAGGATGGGAGTATGCAGAGGATCAGCTCAATTCAGTTTCTTGTCCTCAGAACTTATATCAGATGTTTGAAGTCAATTTAATATAGAAACAGCATGAGCATCCTCATTTACAATTACATAAACCAAACAATTTATTAATAGTTTGAAATATTATAACTAGATTTTTAATTATAAGAATATAACCATCAAAGAAACGTATCCACAACACATCATTCCACAGTTCAGTCTTTTCTCTTACTAGACTCCTGAATTTGGACTGGTTGTTTCACAAAGTTTCAAGCATATATTTTGTATTATGATCTTGTAGTGAAAAGCTACTATGATTTCTGATTTATACACTATTTTGATGTACGTGTAAAGAAAATATGACATAAAAGGCTTAATTTATTTTTATTTTATAGGTTACAAGAACCTGAAGTGGCTCAACATCAGAGAAGACCACTTGCTTAGATGAATGACAGGTAGGTCAATTTATATTAGTTGGAAAAAAAAAATGGCCAAAAGACCAAGACACCACGTGTCTCCCCACTTAAAAAAATTTATAAGAGATGGCCAGAAAGAAACCTTGTCAGGTTAAAACCAAGAAATGTACAGAAATGTTAAGGATGTGGGCAGCTAGACATCACTCCTCAACATGGTCCTTGTTAAGAACAATGTATTTTTTACATTGTGTCCAAGCTTCGTCATATGAGTTTGGTTGAAATTGATGTATGGGTTATGAGTTACTTTAACAATATGAATTGCCAAAGCAAACTGTCCTTTGGAGGATCAGAAAGATGCAAGCCAAAGAATTCTAAGTAAGGACTATATGTGAAACATGGAAAGACTGTTCATCCAAATCTCTACAATGCACTAATTACATAACATGCAACATGTAGCCTGGCATTATCATGTTGCAGGACAGCCTCCAATCTGATGCTTGGTCATACTGATTGTGGTAATAGGTAGCAAATAGTCAATAAGTACACACCAGATATTCTTTGTATGTTAAGTATCTGATTATAGCAGGTTGTTCAAAACCAATGACACTCATTGTTGCCATTGTGTAATTTTGATGCACATTACTGTGGAAATGCATAATTTTTGATACAGTTAATTATGGATGGATACACCTATTAAAACAATGAGGCAACTACAATTTGTCATTTCCTTGTACATGGGACACAAAGTCCAGTTTTAGTGAAGGTTAAGTTACATGTCAATATAAATATAGTTACGTAGACTGAGGTTACCTGCTTGTATTGAACATAGTTGATATCTTTCTCAGCAATAACCGTAAAAGTATTTTAAATATAAACGAAATATAAACAATTGTTGAGTATTAAATTTACCCCAGTGAATCACAATATGGTCAACATGAACTTTTGCTAACAATAACAAATACACTATCCATTGTCCATAACAGATATCTTGTTAGTTTTTTTAGGGGTAGAAGGCTTTACCTGTTTCAGAAAATCTCACAGACACAAAACATTATCCAAAATACGCATGACTTTATGTGCAAAATGCATTATTACTTTTGATAGGCTTTATGCATAAAATGCTTTCACAAATGCATCATTCCTTTTGATACTTCTTGTATTTCAAGTAATGAAACATTTACAAAAATTCACATCAGTAGTAAGGCTCAAACTTCCAAGGACAAAAAAAAAAAGACTAAAACAAGAAACTCTTTGAATGTCTTACTTTCTGTGACACTAAATTATCAGATCTTGGGTCACAGTCTTTTTCATCAGCTTTGGAGTCAAGTTTCTGCCTTTTTGCTTGTGTTTCATTGTCAGAACCATCAATGTCCAGCTTACGTTTTTGCTGGTTTTCTTCGTTTGGTGTAGTTTCCTCTTCAACTGAAAATGCAGCAAAAACAAAGATGATGAAATGTTTGATAATAACTCATTGATTGGTTTTTATAGGTTACAAAAACCTGAAGTGGTTTAACAACAGACAAACAGTTATGAGAAGTTTTCATGTATTTAAGATCAACATATGAATTCTGGTGAAGTCTCAGTTAAAATACTATGTGCAACTTTTGTGCCCTAACTACAAGAAAAAAAGCAAACACTGGAAAGACCATATTAACAAGTTATTAAAGTGACATATGACTTGAAAAATAGCTAAGACAAGAGGCTAATTTTAGTTTTGAACTTACTGTTCTATATGAAGGGCTGAAGAATTATAGATGACTTTATTCATGTGTTTAGAATTGTTAGGGGGGCTTTGATAGCCTGTATGTTTGAGTGGTGGAGTAAATATATTGGAAATGCAAACTTGAATAGTAGGGATAAGAAGTTTAAGCTTCAGAAAGCCTAGTCAAATGTGCAAATCATTCTTTTCTCCTGTATGTTGTCTTCAAGACCTCCAAAAACACAGTGAAAGGGCCATAACATTTCAGTTTGATATGCCAAAGCCAATGTTCATCTCATGGAAATTCCAGCCAAATGGCACATACAGTATTTTCACACTTTGTCATGTGTATATCACACACACATACATTTTATAGTAGTCTGTTCATGACATTTGGAATATGCCCGGATGGTGCTTGCAGCCTAGCCAACTAGAGTAGACTATGTACATACAATACATGCACTGCACATTTAGCATTGAGCCATTTATGAACTCTCTCAATACAGATTCATAACCAAGGACCGACCACATGACCATTTTTATTTGTATATAGTTTTAATACTATAACTTTTAATATAGTATATGTATCTTCACAAAATTTGTCAGACTTTTAGTAAACATCACAAGTCGTTTGTACATAAAAAATCAGTTTTTCAAGGAAGTATTTTACTGAAGATTTTTCCATGAACATATTGAGTCTTTTTTTGTCCAGTCCAAGTGCAAAATGATTTTCATGTTAAGATTAAAAATACTTTTCTTCATGTCAAAAATATCAAATGTCATTTAAATAACCTCTAAAACCTCCCAAATACATTTCAAACATTTTTTTCAGTAAAACTTTATGTTATCTGTTATTTTCTTTACGTTAACATTATATACACAAAAAAATCTAAATTATCTTTTTTTCTTTCTAGAATGAATTCAGATTGAAACATGAAACTACATTTGGTTATTGTAAGTAGCTTTAAACTTGTAACATTGTATATCTTTTTATACGTAAATTTTATTGTTTATTGCCCTTTGAACCATGTCTAAATACTAGTGCTATTCTCGGCAATATAGTATAACTTTTAAGTCACTTGGAGAATCTGCAGTTCACGCTACGCTATCGAATTACATTACCCATGAGCTACTCGTGTGCATGCCCCATGATATATTTTTATTATATTATTATTTATTTTACCTGATCTAACTTTAACTAATCTAAAGTTTCCTATTTTTACATTTTAGTTACTTTTATAATACTAAATAAAGAATACACATGAAAAAGAAGAAATAAACTACTTTACCTGGGCTTCCTTTTTCTTTGCTGTTGATAACACTTAACCTTATTTTTGTTTTTATATTAATAGTAGTAGTGCACTAAATAATTTTTATTTAATTAAATAATGAACCAAAAAACATAGAATAATAACATGCAAAAAAGCAACAAGAACCATTAAAAATTCATCCAAACTAGTCAATGTGTTTCCTGTGGGAATGAAGCTTGTAATGAAAGAGAAATTAACATTTTCCTGTACAGAAAACTATGTACTATAATACGTCATTTGATAGATGAAACATTTGGCTTTCCATTGGTTAAATATAATATAGTATTAAATGTAAGAGACAACTATTAACAAATCCTGGAAAAGAGGATGTGACAGGTAGGTGTGGCAAGAAGAGTCAGATTTTCTATTTGATGGCTTTGTAACAAAACAAAATTGAAGGCTATGAAAATTTTGGTTTATCTGAGTGATGACAATATTATAAGTAATTTATGTTAAATTTCGTCCTTCTTGGAGGAGTAATAAATAAATTATAGTAGAGGGGATGTCTAGAGAAGAAATGTCACATTTCTCACACTAGGGGAAATTCAGTATCTTTTTTTAAATATTGGCTTATAAGATTAAAAACTTAAAATGTCTATACTATTAAAATATGGATTATTAGCTACAATTTTATGGTATACTAAGTGGTGTAACATGAACATACAATAAGTAGTTTAGTTAAATTTTGAATGTAACTCAGTAAAACCTCATGAAATGTACAGTAAAGGCTGCCATGGTGAGAGGAGTAATTACTGCTGAAACTTACCAATGTTATCAAGAAAGTGATAAGGTCTCACAAAAATAAATAAACTAAATTCATTCAAAAAACGATTTGTGGCAACCTTGTTCAGTTGCAATATATTCAAGTCACTTCTTTCTCTGGTTAATTGACTGTTGCATTATTTTGTGACAGCTGAGGTGTTTGGTATTTCTTGCAGTTTTAAGGTGTCACTTTATATACCAGGAACTATTTTGTACACGAAATGCCATGTATGGCACAATTAAATATTAGGGTTTAAAACTGAATAAAAGTGTTATTAAAATAAAAACATACCATTTACCTCTTTTTCATTAGTGGATGCCTTTACAAAAAGTTAAGACTTTTAGTGTTGGATTTAATTTCCATAGTGTTAAAATGATTAATGTTAAAAAGATGGTAAGCAATATTTGTTAATTGCTAATCAAATTTAATATTGATTAACAGAAACTGCTAATCAAGTCCACCAAACTATTTCTTCCCCTGCAGTGGAGTGATTACTATAACTTTCTTTTAATTTGCTGGCTTCATAAAAAATTAAAGCTTCAGATAAGATATAAATATTAAGATAACTGGTTATGTATTAAATTTGTGATTAAAAAGATATTGCTATAAAGAAGTAATGGATGAAATATGTGTATCTTATTTAATCCTCTTGCAACTAGTAGGTCAAAATGCACATGTCCCGATGTTTTACAGTGTTACATTCAAAATTTAATTAAATTATTTTATTATCAATGTGTACAAATAAACTCATCATCAAAACATAGGTAATAAATCAAATGTTACTATTATTTACGCTTTATAAGGATATATTTTAAAAATTCCTCAATCTTCCTTATTATGAGAATCATGACATTTGTTCTCTGAAATATGGAATTTAATGTGAATTACTCATTATAATATAGATATTACTAAGGCAAAGTTTAATTTTTATATCGTGAAATCTTATTTGTTTACAGAGTCATAAACTAGAAAATCATACCCACTTGACAAAGCCACCTGTCATATCCTCTTTTTTACAAATTGCCAATAATTCTCTCTTACATTATATACCACATAATTTATAACCAATAGAAAGACAAAGTTTCAATCTATCAAATGACATATAATGCTGGATTGTTTTCAGTAAAGAGTACTGTAAATATTGTCTTCAGATCAAGCAGCTACAGGAATTAGTTTAAGCTCTTCTTGTCTCAGTTAAAAAGCCAGCTAAATTATAAAAGTTACTGGACACTTTTTGTTTTGTGTGTATGTTATTATTCTGTATTGTTAGTTGCATTATTTAAGTAAATAAAAAGTATTAAATGTATTAGTACCATCATTAAAAAGTAGGCTTGAAATTCATCGGAAACCGATAGCAAAAAAACAACAGATCAAACCTAAGAAGCATATTTCTTATTTTTCATGTATATTTTTTATCTATTGATATAGAGTAATTAAAATATAAAAATTAGAAATTTATTAGGTTAGAGTATGTAAGATAAGTAAAAAACATTCTTAAAGAGGTATGCTCATAAGAAGCTTGTGAATTACACCATTCAATTTGGTAACATAGGATACGCATTCACCAGGTAACTTACAACTTGTGTAGTGGTATTATTAGTTAGACACAGTTCAAAGTGCAATAAAACAATAAAATTATGTGTAAACAGATGTAGACTGTTATGAGCCTTCAACCATTTAGGATAAACAACTGTAGTTTATGGTTACAATCTGTAGTAATTCTAGAAAGAAAAAAAGGATAATTTAGATTTAGTTTGTATTTTTCTATGGTGGTTATAAGGTTAGTCAAATCAACCAAGTCTATATAGAGTTAGGGTAAAGAAAATAAATGATACAATAAAAAGTTTCAAGAAAAAAATGTTGATTGTAATTAGGAGGTTTTAGAGGTTAAGCAAATGAAATTTGAAAATTTTCAGATGAAGAAAAGTATTTTAATCTTAACATGAAAATCACCTTGTACTCGAAACAGTCAACAACCTGACTCATATATTCCCAGACAAATATTAAGTAAAAATACTTAATTAAAGAATCTGATTTTTTGTGTACAAAAGACTTTTAATGTTTACTGAAAGCTTGCCAAGTTTCCTGAAGAAACATAAAATATATTAAGTTATAGTACGGAAACTCTGATGATTACTTTATGGTTTTCTGTATATAAAGGGTTATGTTATAATTACAAAGGATACGGTGGCTTCATCTGTTTCCAATAACTATTTAATACTCTACATAACAAATAAATTTAGAGAAATTACTTTATTAGTAGCTAAAAGCTTAGAAGATCCTTGTTTAAAAACATGAAATATTTGATGTCTATAGTCACACAGATAACACAAAAGTATAATATCAATGTGTAACATGTACTTGTTTTTATGGCCAAAACCCAAACATAATTTTAGTAAGAAATTATCTACAATATATAAATATCACCTGGTGTCTTCTTAACCTCTGTTGGTTCCTCGACATCAGTTGAACACATTTCAATGTCAAAACTTCCAAAATTCTGAAAATTATTTAAGAATAAAACCATAATATTCTAATAATGGTCAGAAGTAAAAAAAATAAAAATAAAATAAAATTAAGGAAATGTTGTCATTAAATTACATAATGTGGTTTGTCATAAAAGCTACAAGAACAAAATGGAAATTTTTATATACAACACATGTTCTAAATGGTCAGGTCAGGGACTCTCAAGATTCAGATATAACTATACATAATTTAGAGCTTCTGATAACAGAGGAGGCAACCAGTGGCTACTCTCAAATAATAACATGATTGACTGCCAGAGCTGTAATGAAAGTGTGAAGCGTGGTCAGCAGATCAAACTTTGGATTTTCTAATTTGTAGCCTTTCATACTAACCACTAGGCTACATCTGGCTTTAGGTGAAAGAATTCAAAAACTGTTTTCCCAAGTAAAAAATGTCTATCCATTACTAATTAAATGAATTTTCTATGACTTTTCAACACAATAAAAGTTTCATTGGGAGCTGATGGTCAACATACCAGACAAAGCAACATTCACTGTATAGTGGTAAAATGTTGGTTGCAATTTCAAACAATTAATTCCAATTGTAAATCAAAATTATATACATAAAGTAAAAATACATAATATTTTTATATGTATTTTAAATTATCTATAATTGGAAATTTATACAAGCAAAAACTTACTTTAATGATTCTTTCCTAAAGAACAATATCCAACACAAATATAGTACACTTTCAAGCCCTTTAAAAATTTTATAGCTGTTTAATAAAAATGTGACTTCTTAATGAAATTTACTTAACTTATTTGAAATTGTACTTAAAACTAGGTGTCAGTAAGTTTTTAACAATAAAGATATAAACCATCTAATAGGTACAGAGTACTAAAAAAAAAGGGGGAAGAGAGGCTTTAGGTGAAAAAATGTGAGTTTACACTTATTCAAGTTGACGAAATCAAAGCTAATAGAAAGAAGACTGAATCTATTTGGATTTCTGTTAAGGGATATGAGAGTAGAAAGCTTTTAGTTGGACTTTGTTACAGACTACTGGATGAAACTGATCAAATTAATGAGGAACTCTACAGTGAGGTAAAGAATTCAGCTGTTAATGAGGTCATAATTATGGGGACTTTAAATTCAGTCATGTGTACTGGAATATGTTAAGAGTCAAACAATGAGGGTGACAGATTTTTAGAAACTGTTCAGGATGGTTTTCTTTACCAATTGATTAAGGAGCCTGCTAGGAACAATGGTATTTTAGATTTATTGTTAACTTCTACTATAGAAATGGTTGGTAGGGTGGAGATTGGAAAATATCTGGGTGCAATGATCATTGTTCAATAAGGTTTGATATTAGGCTACATATGGAGATTGGAGATAAGGAATAAAGAGATTTTGTTTACAAAATTTCAAAAAAAACAAGTTCTGAAGGGATGCAGCAAGAATTATCTGTTGTGAATTGGACAACTGAATTAATTGGAGATACTACAATATGAAAAAAAATTAAAAACAAATTTATAAATATTTAAGATAGACATATTCCTTATTAAAAAAACAAAATGTGGCTGTAAGGAAAAAACAAGTTATTCATATGAAGGATAACATTAAGGAAAAGAAATATAAACTTAGTTGTTTAAATTGACTGCTATGATGGGAGATTTACAGAATTATACAAGATCAAGAGAGTTGGTCAAATAAAAAATTTGGGAAATCAAAGAGAGGTATATGAAAAAAGGTATGTAAATGTAAAAATTATTAGTAAGGATTTCATTAAATATTCAAGATAAACACGTTCCTTATTTTAAGGAATGTGATTGCAAGTAAAAAAACCAAGTTAGCTCACAAAGGGTTTAATGAATAAAATGAAAGAAAAGCATTATAAATGTAAGTAGTGTAAGTTGATTGCTATGATGGAAGACTTAGATGCACAATGTTAGGACTGGAGTAAGACCTTTGAGGGATGATAATGAAAAGCTTATATCTGATGATTATGAGATAGTTGGGTAATAAACTTTCTTTTTTTTAAATTTTACAAATGAAGCTTTAAGCAACATTCTTCATCCTGAACATTTGCTAGATATAAATAAGTTTAAACAAGATGATCACAATAATTATGAGTTTGTTAAAAAAACTGGGAAGTTTAAGAATGATAAGATTCCTGGGTAGGTAATATTTCCATAAGAGTTTTGAAGGAGACTAGGGATCAGATATGGGAGCCACTAACTACTATTTATTTGCAAACCTTTGAATAGTTGACACGTGTCGAAAGATTGAAAGTTGACTAATGTTACTCTTGTTTTCAAGGGTGTGATAAAAACGATAAAAAAATTGATCCAGTAACTACAGGCCTATTAGTCTTACATCAGTGGTGGGGAAAGTTTTTGAAAGTCTTATAAAAGATGCTTGGCAAAATCATTTAACATAGTACAAAATTTTGTTGAATAATCAACATGGTTTCATTAGGGAAAAAAAATTTTTGTGTGAGGGATAGATTGGCTCATTAAATAGAAATGTGGTTAGATGGAAGAAATCAAAGGGCTGTTATAAATCAGTCAAATTGGAATAATGTCACAAATGGGATACCCCAGGGCTCTGTGTTAGGACCTTTATTCTTTTTGATTTACATAAATGACATAGATGAAGGAATGATCAATAAATTATTTATATTTGCTGAGGATATTAAGGTTTTGGGTGTTGCTGGCTGTGAGGATAATGTTGTTGCTTTACAAAAAAATTTGAGTTTTTGGTAAGTTGGGCAAATAAATGGCAGACAGCACTTAATAATAATATATGCAAGGTCATTAATGTAAGAGATATCATAATTTAAATTATAAACAAACATTTTGATGGGAATAACCTTAACAGTGTTATGGAAGAAAAGGATCAATCTCTTAAGGCCATTCAAGCAATGTACTGTTGCTACTGGTGGGGCAAATATGATTTTAGATTTTACCTACAGAAATATTGAATACAAGTATAAAAAGGTTATAATTTCATTATATAGAACACTGGTTAGGCAATATTTGAAATAGTGTTCAGACTTGGGATCCTTAATTTAGGAAGAACATTGAATTCTTGAAAAGGGTTCAGAGGAGGGCTAGTAAAATGAGTCCTGGGATTGATATTGTTTTCTATTGAAAAAAGAAGAGTTAGAGGGGATCCGATTGAGGTGTTTATGAGTTCTGAAAGCAGTGATGCATCATCTTTTTTCATACTTAATGCTGAAAATGATGGGACTAAAGGATACAAATATACATTTTGGCAGGGTGGAAGTCATTGTCAGCTAAATGTTTTATTTGTTTAACAGGGTGCTTGGTCTTTGGAAGTAATCGCCGTGAAATGGGGTGGTCGCAGTAAATTTAAGAGAGTTTAAAGGAAGGCTTAAATAATATGCAATATTAAATTATTTTTGCTAAAATATTAGGATTTTTATTTACATATTTATTAAAAAGAAATATATATCTTCCTGTAGAAATTATGAATAATAATAATAATAACAATTACATTACCTCACAGGCTCGTTGGGCAGCCTCAGTATTTTCAAACTCCACAAAAGCAAAACCTTTAGGTTTTCCTGTTGATTTAAACTTTGGTAAGCTGACATATGTTACAGTTCCAAAGTTACTAAAAACAGACTTTAACCAATCATGGTCAGTGTGAGATGGCAGTCTCTCAACATAGATAGTACACCTGTCAAAGTCTTTTTCTTCTGTAACCAGTGACACACGTCGAACATGAGTGCCAGCTTTATTTAACTGCAAAGAAAAAACATTTTTTTCAAATAGGCTTATAACTTTTGTTTGTCTGTGTGTGAGCACAAACAAACACATACATATTAAAAATATAATCAAGATATAAAAGCACTGTATTAACTATAGCTTTGGTAACAATACCATGTAATCCATACCAATATATTTTTGACACAGCACAATCAAATTGAAAAATAATACTAATAAATAATAAAAGTCACTTTTCAATCCCATATCTACCGTTGTAATAGGATTTAATGAACACAACAAATATTGACAAATCCAATGCCTACAGTTGTATAAGACTTGGCAAGTATTTAAAGTCACCCTTGGGGCACTTTTTCCACCATTATAATAAGACTTATCAAACATCTCATTTAAACCATGAATTCCATGCCAAACACTGTAAGAAAAACACATTCAGTAATATCACCCACCAAAATCTTTTCAGATTGAGAAATGTATATCTGCCTAGATCACAAGTAAAAAAACAAAGATTAAAGGGCTAAGCTAAACTGCCCAATCCATGGCTAACAAAAGGCACAGTACCAATTCTAAAAATTATAGATCTTGTTATTGTACAACAAACAGAAATAATGAAACAGAGTTGCAGGAAGCAAATTAAAATGGTGGAGGAGGCCCCAAGGTTTATTTGACCAAGCAAAGCGAGGAAATATGTATCAAAAGCACATCCGTTACAGCCAGGGTTGAAGGCTTGCCTTAGGGTTATGGAAGCTCTTCTGTTTTGGGTTAAAGTTTATGTAGTCTCCTGCTTTTCCAGAAAGTAAATTTCCAAATTTTATGTTTTTTTTTACTGAGTGAAAAGTGGGGGGGGGGATGCTTCATATGCAACTGTGAAATACTTACAATTCCAATCTAGTAAATTCCATAAGCAATATAGCGCCAAATCAGACAGACTAACTATCATTGATAATAACAAGAAGTGAAAAAACAACCAAAGAAAATTAACACAAATATATTCCATTTAAATAAAATATATTTATGGTTACAAACGTTAAAACTTTAAAATAAGCAACTATAACCTGTTTTGGAAGAGAAACTTTAGAACATAGTAGAAAATCACTACTAACCTCCAGTAACTCTGACTTCTCTAGAGCAATAATAATGTCTTTAATATCATGTGTCAAATTCTTAATTTTGTTGAAGGTCAAGAACAGCTCAAGTTCCACATCTGAAAAGCAAGCAAGGGTAGAAATAAGAAATAAAGAGTCAAGCATATTAGTAATATTTTAACAATATAGTCTTGCATCATCATCATCATCATAATGCATTTTTTGAAAATGAATTATAATTGTAACTGTACTTTTTTCATTACACTTGTATTTTAATCTGTTCTAAGAAGCAAAGAGAAGGTCCTAAAAATGTAATTTCCTATTAAAGTGACATGCACTGTACAAATCTGTGAAAATCCTGGCTGAAAAGTAAGATATGCATACTTTAACAATTTAGATTTTTACTTACTGTATATATTATATACTACTGAATGTGATCAATGACAAGTAAAAACCTACAAAAATATATGTTTCAAAAACCTTTAATCTAAATAAATGTACAAATGAGGAGAGACTAAAATCTTTAAACTTGTTTTCTCTGGAGACAAGAAGGGTCAAAGGGGACTTGATTGAAGTGTTTAAATTTATTAAGGGTATTGATATTATAGATCCATCACACTCTTTTGTGTCTAGTGGTGAAAACTATAGGATAAGGGAGCATAAATTCAAATTTTGGAAGCGTAGGAATCGTCTGCAGTTTAGACAGTATTATTTTTCAAACAGGATGGTTGGCTTTTGGGATGAGCTGCTTTCAAGAGTGGTGGAGGCAAAAAATTTAACTGAGTTCAATAAAAGAGTGGATGAATACATGAGTAGTAAGGGGTAGTTAAAGTTGGGAGCTGGAAGAGGCATCCTTGATGGGCTAATAAGCTACTTTTTGTCCCTTTAAAATTTTTTGAAATTTTTATGAAATCTGTTTCAGGAAATAAACAGGTAAAATATTAACTGTATCAAAACTTAATAACTAATAATATAATATGTATTAATCAAATCTGATTAAAAACACTGCAAGTTTTTCATAATGACGTAAGACAAACAGTGATAATCTGTGAAAAGCTGGTTGTGTGTAAAACCAAGTTATTTCAAATAATATTCAATACTTTTTGTATCAATTTAATACATATGATAACAACAAGGATTAAAATAACAGATGTGACATACCTTGCATCATTATTTCTATCATTTAAGATGCGCAAACATTAACAAAAAATGCAACTATTCATTTTTTGTTTCAAATCTAAAATTAAATATTTAATACAGCATACTCACAATTCTCATCATTGTTATATACTAAACTTTTCAAAAACTTGTCTTTTTGAAGATTGGAGTCACTGAAGTAGAATTCCATCTAAAATAAACATAGAATATCATTGACAAAAAACCTGATATATTAGCTCATACCAAATAACAGGATATAAGAAAGACAAATTTCACAAAAATATAGGCAAGTTAATGAATCTCATAACAATGAACACAATTTGCTATTTTCAAAGAACAACAATGACTTAATAATTAAGTTCTTATAGTAACATCAGAGAAAAGTCAGTACAGAAATAATTTTTAAACTATAAAGCAGTTAAATTCGATGATGAGGAACCCACTTTGAG